AGCGACAAGTGGCGTAGCGTCGCTGCCGAGGTCGAGAAGGCGCGGAACCTCGGCAAGACCGAGTGGTGACCGCTTTCTGTGGCGGGCGACCGAGACATTTGGCTGTATAGATGTATCCTGGAAGGGATGGCCTCCAACCTAATAGGAATGGGTCCCCAACCTAATAGGACATGAACGTCCTGCAAGGAAGGGAGGCAATTCTTCAAAAGCTGGTGACTTGGCCGGTTGAGTTGTTTCTTGTTAACGTAGCTGCGGTGCCACTTGGGATGCTGCGTTCTTCCTGTTGGTGGCCCACTCCCTTCACTTAGGACTCCATCGCTAAGCTTTCGACAAAGGTATCAGCGCTTGATCCTGAGGACAAATGAGGATCCCAAAGATCAGACTGATGATTTGTCTTAATCTTAAGCCAAGTGTCACTCAGTCGAGAGTTCCCAGAGAAGTTTACGGCGTTCAGATTCTGCGCATCTTCCTGGGAAATGCCCCTCCGGTACTTTTCAGACCAAAGAATTGCAGGGAATGGAAACCAGGTTGACAACCTGCAACATGAAGCTTGCCACTGGGCACAAATACCGCACTAGTTGAACACATTGGTAGGGTGCCTTACAACTGATGACACAAATGTGCGGCACATCGTTCTGATAGTCTAGAAACCAAAGGAGCCAGTGATGAACTGCCAGCAAGACCTGCCAGCAAACCTGCCCCTATGTCAAGCCAAGCATCAATCACTGGTAGGAGTGCCAGGACATCGTGATCTGTCAGATTTTGATTTGCCATGCTCAAGTTATTAGATTGACCTCGAGCAGCACAGCTCGTGGTAAAGCGACGGAGGAGCGACATCGGAAGGGTCCAAAAATGTTCAAATGTAGGAAGCTTCCGAGACTAGTCCATTTAAGTGTAGCCACGATAGCACAAGGCTTTGGTTTGCTTTTCTACGTCTGACATATTAGACCCCACAGTCCCACCAAGCGAACAATCGATCCTTAAATGCATCTCCCACCTGCCATCAAGGGCTCCAAAGCTGGTCGTATCCCATGTTGGGTACAAACCTGGCAGGCTGTCACCCAAACAATTGGATCATACTCACCTGTTGATGGAAAGTGTTTGTCTACAAGAGGATGCAGAAACGGAGGCATGAATTCTGAAAAACTTGGGCAAATACCAAGGCCTGCAAATATTTTCCGCGAGGAGATAGTTGTCCTTGATCTAGAAGCACCAGCCGCCCTACTGCGCCGCGAGTTCCTTGAGCACACTGCAGTGATCAATGCACTCTTCAAATTAAATGTGCAAACCAAAGGACTGCTGGTGAAGGGTGGCTGATTGCGCTCTCCAGACTTTGGGAGCTTCACAACCTGAGTCGAAAGTGCCACCGCACAACAAAAAAATTGGTCGCAATGCTGCTTCAAACGTCGTTGAGAAAGGAAATGACACGCAACTCGGTGTTTGGGATGTTTTGATAGGCCCATCTGTCGTCTTTTGGAAAGAAAACTAACACGAGCCATGTTGTTGCTTCTGGATTTTTGAAGAAGCCCAACAGTTTTCCGGTATCTTTCAACATCGGTTCTCCAATCGGGAAGGAGCTCTCATGGGCTAGCATGAGCTACCATGGTGAGAGGCACATCATGGGCTACAGATTGCCCTGTCATGCCGCAGAAGTCCCAGGTGCCTTTCTTTGACGGGGAGTCTGCGCAGTCTTTGGATCATAACCTCCACCGCGCCGGTCACGACGCGGTTCGTTCGCACTTCCACCGACTCGGACCGTGCCAACCTCTTTAATGATCGGTTTCCGTGCACTTCTGCTTGATCACTGGTGGAAGACCATCTGAGGTGCATGTAGAAACGTCCATTTCCGGGTGTCAGGGGAGGGAGCAACATGCAAGGTGAGACATCAATCCCGCACGACACTTTTGACCTAAGACTCAGCGTCTATGCCTATGCATCGCCCTCTCGCACTATGTCTGCTTGCCAGAACATACATGATCCCATGCCAGAACAGAATCGAACAGGCATACATGCTCGCCTGTGTAGGGAACGATGCGAGGCTGCTGTGGGACTTGTAGCAGGGCCCGCGCCTTGTAATCGTCCTTGGGATCAACAAAACATAGACAACGAGAAGTGAATAAGAAATTATGCCTGTGATCGACCAGGCTTCAAATGATTCTCGCAGGTCATCTGAGGAATGCTGCAATCCTCCAAATCTCTAGGGAGCCTACTGGTCTGATCTAGGTTCCCTGTCAACAGCTTGAAGAAATTGCCGTCAGCAGCCTGCTTCTCTGTACAAGCTTCATCAGAGCCGCCATGGTCAGAAACCCGTATCCGTGCTTTCAACATGAGCAGCATCCAGTGTCACATGCAACTGGAGCTGCAAAACTATTGGTATTCAGCTCGAGTAACCCACATCTGTTTCTTCTGCACGTCATCGACTTTGTTCTTCAATCTAGTCTGATAATCTTCTGCACACAGCAGAACCTTAGTTTTTCAACTGGCAGCACCGTGCCAATGTCCAGGAGGATGAGTGCTACTCTGCTACTGCATTGAACGTTCCCTCATGTGTTATATGCATCTTTCATACAGGGGAGTAAAGACTTGCTAGCAAGCCGCTAGCATGATCTAGCATGTGTGTCTGATGCGTTTTCCCATGTGTTCCCTTTCCATGCTAAACTGACTTCCTTTCAATGAACTGGTTGGACTGATTGGTTGACATCCAAACACCAAACAATTCCCCGAGCCAAGAGGCCAAGGCTTCACACGTGTGTTTCAAGCGCTTGGCTTCACGACAAGTATCTGCGAAAGCAAGGAAAGAAAATCAGCTCAAGTCTTAAGACGCCTTGGATAGTGGGCGTCAGGCGTTGATGTTGTCAATCAATCAAATTGGCATCCACGCATTGACTCGCGGCCTTGAATCTGATCGACATGTTTCCTCAAAATGTCCTTTGCAGCCACAGACCAATCGGGATGTTGATCCCTGCGACGGAGTGATGGAAGAGTGTTTGAGTCAAAACATACGTCCAAAAGTGCGCCTGGCCTGCCCTGTTCACACCAAATATCGAATATCAATATCTAACTTTACAAATTGCAAAAACACACGAGTTGCAATTAAGTGAGTTGGACAACCCGAAAAGAAAAGAGTAGCCACTGGGCACCTCGTCCAAAAGCTGGTCAAAACCTGCATCAGCTTTCCATGCATCGACTCTCGCCGCATCTCTTCTATTGCTTTCCGCTCCTGCAGCGACGTGATGTGTCTGAGTGCCCTTTTCATTTCGGTTTTCCATTCTATGTTTAACAAAGGCTCAAATTAACCTCGAGGAATCCTCAAGGAACAATTCGCACAGCTAGAAGCATTTATTTAATGATGCCAAGTACAATACTTAAAGTTAAAGGCTTTACAGTGAATATTGCAAAGCGCTCATTGAGAGAGGGAAGGAGGGGCGAAGCAATGAACACAGTTGAGAGGGGAAAACGGATAGTATGGGTCAAGCTCAGAGCTTCAACTCAAGGATTCACTACTAGGAACAAGAAGCTACTAGGGGCTCCTGGCATCACTACTAGGAGCAAGGACGCTACTAGGGGCTCCTGGCCGTACTACTAGGAGCAAGGACACTACTAGACCCCTTCATGTCCACCAAACATCACGATCGCCTTCACAGCACGCCGCAGTGCTGCACGCCCTTTCATGCGGACGCCTGGGGGTCAGCAATGAAAGCCCAAGGATCCTATCCATCTTGGCTTTTGAAGGTGGAAGATGGAAGGAAGACAAGCAAACCTAGTAACAAAGGGCATCGCTACTAGTTACAAGGGCATTACTACTACCAAGAAGAAGCTACTATATAGTAGCTCCTGGCATTACTACTAGTAACAAGAAGCTATTTTGGCGTCTAATGTCGTCCTCTGTTCTCTTTCGAAAGGGCATCGACACAGCTGCTAGGCCACACACCAGGATCGCTTTCTGAAGAGCTTGAACTATCATCACGCTTCACTTGCTGGCTAAGCGGGTGTGATCTCGCCTCGGTGTCTACAGGAATTCAGGCCACCAAGGAGGTGCTTAAACTCAACTGATGGTGTTACTTGGTCTTCTCCACCCACTCACAGCCTCACAGCAAAAAACAAGGAACCCACAAGCCTACCCGGTTGACTACTTCAGGCAAGGATCCCACGCAGCTGTCCGCTGCAAAAAGTCCTTCACACCCGAGGGGTTCTCATCTTCGCCTCAGTGGAGACTTGTTGAGGGAAAATGGCAGTGCGAGGACGCTTGAGGTCTTGTTTGAGAAGCACACCAAAATCGGTTATTGTGGCCTGGACCCTATTTATCCTCCTAGAAAGCAGAACCGAAATATGTGAGTAGAGGGGGTGGTATATTCTTTCAGCCGCTTTGAAGCCTCTCCGACAAGAGAAATCCAAGTACAAATGAACAACCTCTCAATCTGTCCATCTTGGCACAGGATCTTGCTCCAAGGAGCTTGAGCTAGGGCTAGGGGATTTCTGTGGCGAACCTGGTGCTTGGGTCTCCACAACGGTTCCAGCTGGTTGTCTCAAAGTATGAAAATTCCAGCACCTAACCATTCCAGTTCCCTTGCTTGAAACCATTCCAGTTCCTATGATGATCTTGTTCATCTCTCATGGTCAAGCTCGGCCCCCGTCCTATGTCCGGGTCGGTGAGGATTTCGCTCGTTTCGCTCATGGCAGGTGGCGAATCAGTCGTGGCTTTTGCACTAGGTAGAAGTCGTAGAAGTGCTTCGGATCACTTTTGCTCCGCAGCTGACTGGTTATTTGGATCTAACTGCTGCGCTCAATAGGTGTAAAAGCAGCGCCTCTCTACCGAATCCTAGCATATCTCAGAATCCCATCCCCTCAGCCTGCAGTAAACAGCAGCGGGAACAAACTGTCATGATTCAGTGTGTCCACGACTTCTCGGATCGGAAAGAATCAAGAGACCCCTCTCTCTGTCGCTCTCTCTAGTACGCTCATCAAAACCCTGGAATGCAAATGTCCTAGCCCAAGCCAACCTCCTGATAAGTTTGTGTGAGCTGCTCCATCATTTCCTTGGTTTTCAAACAAAATGGAGCAAACCTCGACATTCAGAGACTGTGGAGGCAACGATGACTTTCCTGTAGCAACTTTTTCCAGATGCATTTCTGGTGTAGAAAGGTGTCAGGTCAATCTCAAATCGCCGTCTGTCAGATTCTAACCTCTCTGTGCCATGCGTCATGAAGTTGCCTTTCTCGTTGCATGTAGCCCTGGTCGGGCAGGGTGAGTCCAAAGACTGACCAATAGGCTATATAGGTGTGCAAAATCAGTTCTGCAAGGCCACTGGGTGCACGAAAGCAATGGTAACTTGGGACAACACCGACACTCCAGTGGCGAATCTCACAGCCACGCCCTATGTTTCCAACGACACAGCACGGGCCTGCATCAGTTCTGCTACACGTTGGAGCTCACTCCGGAGGGCGAGCACCTACAAAGAGCCAAGAGATTGCGAAAGCAAGTGATCCCTTGAAAGGGATCGAACCATTGAGTAATCTTCTGGCAAGTCTGATACTTCATATATACTTCCGAAGCTCACCCTCCATCCCCCCACACATAGCAAATATTAGCAAATATATACTTGATTTATTCAAGAGTCGTTGTTGGAAGACCGTGGAAGACTCAGACCCAATCAGGCAGTTCAGCAGCTCGCCGCCAGCCTCTTGATACATGGCTGTAACCTCTCGAGTATGTTCCTCCGGGTCAGGGCATGGAATAGGACCACGATTGGATACGATTGGAAGGGGATGATTCGACAATCGCCGGCAGGGTTTCACTGTTCATCAAATTATGCACTACCAGGCATGTGACCTTTGCCGCTCCTGTGTGAGCTGTGACACTAGCCTCAGTTGAGCTGCACATCTCAAAATACGGCACCCCTTGTCAGCATGAGGAGCAAGAATAGAATCGTCTACCTGGTCTATCTCTGTGATACAAAGCAAAGGTAGAAGAAGAAAAAAATGAGTTAAACAGTTCAAAAACAAAAGGCGAGAACTAAATTGTTCAAAAGCATAAGAAAACAAACAAAGACACAAAATAATGACGAAGGAAAATAAATGTAGTACTTGTGCAACAAAGCAATCCCAGGTTCCATTTTTGCAGTTTGGCTGTGGTCAGCGGAATCAGGAAAACTGCTAGGACACTGAGTAAAGCGACAAAATAAGAAACAACCAAGAACAATATACAAAAGCCAATGAACCACGAAAAAAGAATGACACATGACATGACACATATAGATACTGCAAACAAAAATAGAACAAGTCCGTGGGAGGCAGCTTCTTTTGGCATTGATGTTTGTTGTTCTGTGATGTTATTGCGGTTCTTTTTCTGTGCTCGGTGTTTTGTTGTATATTTGATGTTGTGCTTACAGACTCTCCTCAGATGTGGTCTTCATTTATTGTCATAGTCTACCTGCAAAGGGTCACGTAAGTTGTGGCACAATGCACTTCATTCTTCCATTCCAATCTGGCAGTCCCGCCAACATGCGGAGCTCCACAGGCAAGCATCTGAGACCAGTGCTCATTGGCCAGGTCCGTAGCCACTTGCCGGAAGGTATTTCCAGCCTCAAGGCTTGGGATAAAATTCGTCACAAAATAATGGACTGTGGCATGTGAAATCAGGAGCAGACATAGCCACAACCCAGAAGCAATCAATCACGGAACTCTTGTTCCGGCGTGCTTGAGAAATTAGTTCAAACATCTTGAGGTGGACAAATAACAACTGAATCTGGTTCCCTGGTTTGTTTGCTACCATGCGTTCCTGGTGTCTAATCTTTTCATGCCCAGTGCTCCATTGGCCCACGTGTCAAACTCCTGTTGCTGTTTCAGGCAAACATCGTCTGATACTCGGACACTCTTCCATTGGTGTTTAGACTTATTATAGTTGCTGACTCACCACTGGTGGCTCTGGGCTTGGAAAAACATACCAGTACTGTTGGAGTGTCTGACCCACTTCGCCCAGAAGCAACTGTGAAGAACCAAGAAGCGTTTGCATGGAGTTTCTTTGCTTCAAGTTCAAAGTGATATCAAATGCCAGTTGGTGTTAGGACATTATCTGGCGATCCGTGTCTCATGATCCGCATGCAGGCGTGAACCGGATTTCTGACTCGCAAAAGACCTCAGCACAGTTTGCCAAGTTACATTGGCGGCATAGCTCTGTGGGGAGCCACCCACTGGCACGCCTCAGGAATGTCATCTCACAAATGGACTTTGTTGATCGAAGGGTGAACGGACGGGTAAAGCAAGAACTCGGAGCAAGAAGCTACTAGGAGCAAGGGCATCGCTACTAGGGGCTCCTGGCATCGCTACTAGGAGCATTCCTAGTACTACTAGTAACAATTGACTAAACTCTTTTCCAGGTCAACTTTTTTGAGTGCTTGATGAGCCGCACGAGATCTCGGCAATCACCCCATAACAGTTGTGGATTATTATATTGCTCCAATGGCACTGGTCACTGGTCATTCGTTTATACCAATAGCCGTGGTGGCCATTCTAGATTCTAGAGCAGGGGTTAGTTCCCCTTTTTTCCCGCAATTGGAGTAAACTATCAACTCCAAGATTAAGATTTGATGTTGACATGAAGCTATGGTGTCTATATTTTATTCGGTCTATCGGTCTATCTCTTTTTGGCCCTTCAGGTCTTTTAAACACTTGTCGAAGAATATTGTCAAACCACTCACTCTGAAAGGCGCTTGTGTCTTCCAAGCTCAGGAAGAGTCATGGTGGTGCATGCAGCTGCCGCGCAGCCCATTGCAAAAATGGGGCAAAGGACCGACGTGGGGAGGGTTCCACTGAAGGGTGCCAGCACTCCACCAAGCCGAGTGGCAAACTCACAGACTGGCAGCATGGTGGTCTGTGCAGACTCCGAGAAGATCGCCACCACGGCCACGCGGATGGTCGTGAAGCAAACATCCAGACACAAGCGCCCAAGCATGGCAAAAGCCAACACCACAAAGCTGCCCGGTTCGCCTACGCTGCAAACCATCAAGCAGGCAGCGGCTAATGCAAAGCAGCAGCCCTGCACCTTGTTCCTACCCCAAACGTCAGCGCTCAGAGCCATGATGTCGCCAAGGATGTCAGCTGCTGAAAGGAGCATTGTGCTCTCATAGGGATTGGGAGACAGCTGCCCTGCAGAATAGCTTGATCCAAAAAATCCAGAGCCACAAGCCAAAAAGCTGATGGCCAAGGCAATGGTATGGCGCTGATCTTCTGGATCCATCAGATCCATCTCCTGATTCTTAACTTCACTCGCTGGCTGCTCGAGCTTCTTACTGAAAGAGATTGGGATGGACTGGAGAACTTGAGGCCAATGTGGGAAGGCGATTTGAAGACTGCAAATCAATGGGATTGCGTACCAGACTAACGCCTCAATCCTCCAATCAGTATCTAAACTGGAGGCACCTGCCAAGCAAATGGCAACTACGCTGTAGGCGATGCTCGCGCTCACCGCCTGGTTCTTCCGACCTTCCGGCATGGTTTCTTGGACATGAACACATTGAACTGCCACGATATTCATGAGAACCCCATAGATGAAGCGCAGCGAGGTGAAGAGCATCAGATTCCCAGCCGTCAAATCGGGTAAGATCACAGTAGCCAGTGCTACGAGCACAAGCCCTGAGGCACCACCAACCAGGATCTGTTCTTTGTTGAAGCTCTCGATGGCCCTTCCCAGCCCTAGAGAGCCCAAGAGCCACCCAAGGAACATTGCTGTCGTCGTGACGGGCAACGTCTGCCCCGTCAATCCAGGCAAGGTCGGATCCGCCAGCAATTTTCAGGTCAAGGAAAACAGGCAAAATGTGCCAAGGAGCCAAGAAAGATCCCATGCAAATGCCTACGCCAACATAAGTTCGGATCACCTTATCAGATACCTCCGCAAGCTCAGGCCAAAGGCCAACAGTAGAAACAGTGTGCGGTGACTCCTTCGCTGCCTTGCCGTGCATTACGCATGAGCCGCGAAGGTCTTAGATGCCACAAGCCCCAGGAGCGTTGCTGCCGATGTACGCTGGCGGTCTGGGTGAGAAGTCCCATGGCTCCCGGGTGAGCAATGAGAACTGTTTCCCGTGGCACCCGCCAAAAGCGCACTTGTGGACTGAGTGTGGTGCGAGGTGCTGGCTCCAGCATGGCCCAGCGAGCCGAGACTGCCATGGAAAAAGAGCAGGCGGAACAGGCGTGATGTCGGTCTGCAGGCTAAACCTTTGGTTCAGCCTCGGAAAAGCAAACCCACACCGCCAAACTCCGTGTTGGGCAAAAAAGTGCTTGAGCCAGCCAATGGTATGAGAAACAAATTGTCTGACAACTGGTTGTACCGGTTTGTGCACGGACCTACCTCCCAAATACCAAAAGGGCGGCTAAAATTGTTCGCACCATCTTTGTGGGCAGGAGGGCAACGATCCACACAACAAGCCTGTTCTGCACACTTCATCTGGCTTAATGGAGGAGTCTCAAAAAAGATTCGATCTGATGTGCATCGCAGATGCCTCTAATTCTTCTCCCGTTTCTAAGGAACTCTCATAGTATTGATGCTCAGTTTACATCGGCTTCTCTTCACCACAGGATTCGTGCAAACCACTTTTTGATCGTCTGCATCAGAAACAAAGAGCCGCAGGAATCCAGAGCAACCAAGCGACGTCCTGCCATGCTCCTGACAAAAGAAATTGAAGACACATGACATTACACTGATCAAGTTGAGTCCGTGCTGAATGCGATTGTAGATCCGAGTTCTTGCCCGCCTGGGGCAAAGCGAGGACAACTATAGTAGATGTTGACAGCCGAAACGGCAACAGTGTTCAACTCTTGATCCAAAATATATCAAAATATATCTACACTAGCCTCAGATCGGTAGACTTCTTGGAGTTTCCTCGCCTTGTCATGAATACACCCTTCCATCCAGGTCAAGCAGTCCAAAAGCAAGCAATCATTCTAAAGGTTCTCTTTAGGGTTCTATCTCAGCAATAGTGCGTAGGCCCGTCGCATCGTCATTTTCTCGGACATCTAGTGGTTTGGTGAAACATGGTGAAACACAAGATCAAAATGGATCAAGCTTCAAGCAAACAAGTGGCCACGAGTCAAGCCTGGGAGGCGGACTCATTGAGGGCTGCAAATGTCAGAAACAACCTTCGACAAGTCGTCGTTCTACGCTCATTGAGGTCTTTCTATAGGTCAAAAAAAGTGTTTGAAAAAGTAAATTATGTCCTTCTTGCCATTGATCCAAATGTTCTCATCATATTCTGCGTCCCTCGGTCAAAGCCCTACGGTTGAAACATGTCGCGACACCCAACAAACAAACCAACTTTATTAACTGGAAAAATGGAATAAACTGCAGCGGAAATGCAAGTATATGAAAGCAGACGTGTCTATATAAACAAGTTACGTAAAGTAGCGAGTTCTATAATGATAATGCTATATAATGCTATAGAATGCACAGAAAGTAAACACTCTGGAGAAAAGAATGGAGAGGGGGCACTGGGGCTCCTTGCAGTTACTGCCTCCTGCCTCGTTCAAGTGACCCTGGCAGTCCGGGATTCGTGCCATGGGCCCGTGCCTGGAGAGGAAGGAGCTTCATGTCATTGTCCGAGGAGAATGCTCGCGAAAGGCCAGACCAAAGGTCGACGTAAATCTTCCTTAACCTATGGTCCTTTGGTTCTCTATCTGTGATGCGTTGGGACCACAGAGGGAGGTTTGGACAAGCATCGCTTTTCCGAGTACAGTAACCCTTCTCGACTTCCTAAACGTCCCTCCGTGCCATGATTTTCTGAGTGATTCCAACATCCCCTGAAACAGATTTGTCCCAAACAAGTCATGACCTGACCACTGGACCGTCCTAGAAATATAAAATTCTGCTCAACCCAAAATACTATATAAGTAAATCTAGGTATATCTCCCCAGGCTTCAACCCGCGCATGGGACAACCGCTGAGAGACCTTCTTCGAGGCTCCTTATGATCCTGCCCGCCTGGGGGCAAAAGGAGGGCAGGTGCGTGTTGACAGCCGAAACGGCTCAAACGTATCTCCAGTAGTCTCAAATCGGATAACTTCTTGCAGCTTCTCAGGTGCAAAAAACCTGCATGAACACATTGACACCAAGATATACCAGGCAATCTCGGTGGGCAAAAGCTTTCATATGCAACTATACGGTACCGTGGTATAGTGCCTGATGAATGCAGCAATGCAATGTGTGTTTGAATGTGTGATGCGCTCAAGTATGTTCAAGCCAGTTGTGATAGATGCTTCGCCTGGCACCCATGTGCGAACACCAAAAAGTCCAGATCCGAACACAAAAACAGCGCACCGGTGTTTTTGGGAAATCTAACGGTTTGGTGAAACACGAGATCAAAATGCGTCAAGCTTCAAGCGAACGAGTGGCCAAGAATCAAGCCTGTTTACAGTTGGACTCAGTGAGAGCTGCCGATGTGAGACAACAAAGGTTGACAAGTCATTTCAGTTGTTTCTATGTTCATTGAAGTCTTGCTTCGTGTGTTCTTGAAGTGCATACGAGTCTCCCTCACCATGTTGCAAAAAAGTGGCACGTGCCAAATCACCTTATGAACATCCTATGTAATATCCGCTTTCTTTGTGTGGTCAAAGTTGAATAGACCAAGAGCATTGAGCATCACAAGATTTTACAAATTGATCTTCATTCATTTGACCCCGACCCAGGGGAACCAGAAAATAGGCTAAACTGGCCTAGCCGTTGCTGGGGCCAGCCTGGCGAGGCATCCTCATTGGCAATCTGATGAAGTCTCGGGCCACTCGTAGCTCGCGGATGCTCACGGCTCACACGGCTAAGCGACCGAAGTTGGCCACACGTAAATGGAGCTCCAGCTGTCGAAGATCCACCTGTCGCTGTCGGACAGATATCACTGCTGGGACGGGCATGGGCCACCAGAGACGTAAAACATCCCAAACATCCCTGAAGGAGACAATCTTCAAAAGTGGGACCAACTGTCTTTAAGAATATTGCGATTACGACTTACGGGCATAGAAGGGCAAAGGCAAAGGAGATTCACATCAAAACTGTCCTATATTACACCTGCGACCATCTACGTTGACAGCTTAATCCTGTCAAGACCTTGTTCACGCTCAATCAAAGGCAACCTGGAGATCTCGAGCTTTTCATTCTGGCAGATTCATGGCTCGTTTGCTCACCCAAAGTCCAGAAGTCTCGCACAAGTTGGTTTCATGATGAGATTTGGAGAGGCGTAGATGCGAAGGTTCTGAAGAAAGTGCACAGCATCTCGACACACAAGTCCTTTTTGCTTCGTGCAGCTGGCCCTTGAAGCGCCTCGTCCAACGGTCCATTGTGGCCACAGTCCACGTGCATCGCATAGCCAGCTTGCGATCTGCCAAAAATGGAAAAAAAGCAGGGAGTGCTCTAAGTTTGAGAAACACTGAGAAAGCCCCCATGGCTTTAGACATCAAGTAACTAAGTACGGCCTGTCAATCACTGGCCGTGCTTCGTGTCCGACCTGAAGCGACAAAGACAATAGACTCGACTGGTCCTCCAGGGACATCGCAAAAGGAATGGGTGCCAGTTTCAACATTGTTCAAACACCAACTGATTCGAACACACACAACTTCAGCAACTTGGCCTTTCTATGAAGATGGCAATAGTTTATGGGGCCTTCTTCCAAACACACTTGAATCACTGCAACTCTGGCTCTCAGCGGAGAAGCCCTTAAACAAATCCCAAGCATCTATTTGTCTATTTGATAATTACAGTCGATAAATTCGTACATCTTATATGTAGTCCTGTTGCTCCGAATTACCCCACTTCACACGAACTAACGCTGCTACCTGAGCCTCTCGGGATGCTTCGTTCAAACAAAGTCCAGTGTCGGACCTGTTTGGGATGAGGACCCGACCAAGCTGTCGTCCACAGAGCTGGCTAAATCAACGGACCTGGGCGACGCTTCAGTGGCACAAATCCTAATCTGATGGATCAAACGGCAAAGTGCAAAGCAGCCTGAATCAAACATAATCAAAAATCATATTGAATCGTCCTAGAACTTGATCCGAAACTTAGCTTCGTGTTGGACGGAAAACTACTGCCTTGAAGGAGTTTGTGATAGATTTTGCTGTATCGTGACATCATGCAGCACAGCGATAGAAGGAATGCTTCATTGGGATTATGTCAAGAAGATTCATAAAGAGTGTCACAGCCCAATTTGCACACTACAACATTCAGTTCTTCATTTACTAGCAACAAGGACGCTACTAGTAACAAAGGGCATCGGGCATCGCTACTAGGAGCCAGGATGCTACTAGGGGCTCTTCTCCCTTTGTGTTGGCACCGCCGGGCACCTCGGCTACCTTGGGGCTCCCCACTTGAAGAAGCTTGCCAGCAAAGCCACAAAGCTGCCGATCTCATCCAGGTGTAAAAGCACCTCTTCTTGCAGCTTGGTCGGTGCCGCAAGTGAATCCAAGCTCACCATAACTAATTCTCTCTTCGAATGAAGCAAAGATTCCACAAAACTGTGGGAGACAAAAGTAGTGTTTTGTCCTTCTGGCGTGGAGTGAGTAAGGCAGAAACTAAAATGGCAAATTTGCTCCGAAAGCAGCCATGGCACTGTCCGCACCAAACGATCCAAGTCCTGCTGAGCTAGATCGCCTTGCAAACATGCATGATGAAAAGCGCTGTGTCTTCATTCCGCCCTGCTAAACGCTGACCCCTTGAATGTACCCTGGCAATGAGCATACTGAGGTAATTCCATCATGTTGCAAGAGAGTTCCCGCGCCTGGTGGCACCTGGAGATTTCCTAGGGCGCCCTGGAGTAAGCTCTGTCGGCGGCGGAACTCCCGCCAAACCACAGTGACGCGCATCCGTGCCAGCTGGCGATGATATTGAGCCAAGCTCTCCTGAAGTCATGAATGACTTGGGAATGAAGGTATCAAGGCTCGTCATCAAGGCTTGCAACTGCAAGGGCCTCCAACAGCTAAAGCCTACCTGTTAGCTGCGAGAGTATCGTCCCAACCCCGCTCCGGATGCAGCGTCTTCATCAACTCTTCCATGCGAGAGGCACCTGAGCACAGTACAAAAGAATACAAACGAACTGGCAGCACAAAAACTGCTATTAGGTTGGAGGCCATCGCTATTAGATTGAGGTTACCCGGTTACCCGTCACAAGACTCGAAAGCTCCAAAGCGGAGCCAAAGTAACATCAGCGTCATCGGCTTCTCCGGGAATCAGACTGACGTAGTGAGCGCTCACATCGTCCTGAGTTCCCCACTGACAACAACACTAGGCTGCAAAAGGGTAGACCCGAGAAATGTCTAAGACAGACCGTCGCGAGTTCAGCGAGATTTCGCATAGTTCAATGCTCTATGGGACTTGCCAATCATACATCCATCGCTTGAATTTGCGTCTTGCAGCTTGAAAGCTGAACTCCAACAAAGCCAAATCGAATGAGTCTGAGTCCCAGTCTTTCGAGAGAAATTGGTCAATCTCCAAGTAACTCCGTGGAATCTCCTAGGAGAGGGCAGGCTTCTCACAGGAGAATTCTGCGCTCTTCTGGCAAATTGAGTATCTCGGAGTGGTAGTTGCCACTCCCCATAAACAACAAAACCGCCTTGTGTTTGTTCTCTTGGTTCTCCTCTAAAACATCACAGGTCTGCCATGAAGGGTGCAAAACGAAGCAAAGCACAACATATACTGGAAGAGCTGGTGTATGTCCTTTGAAGAACATGTCCCGAGCATGTCATATACTTCCAAACCCAGCCCAGTCTATCACTCCTGGCCCAAGGTGAGAAGGGCGAAATCAGAGCCCTCTGCTCGAGGGTTGCCCACGGCACCCCACACCTTATTCCGCGCGGCGCCACGCCTCTGGACGAAGAATATGAATAGCAAATGTGACGGCAAAAAGAATCTCCAGAAGTTCAATGACCTTGTGATACCTTGTGCAATCTCCATCTGCCATCGGTGTCGCCAGCCATCACCAAAGCCGGTCGCGGGACTCTTTGGGTCCCAACTTGCATGTTGGCGATTAAGCATCGTAGGGAATGGCCTCAGCGTGAGCGTGTCAGCTCTCACCATTTGATGCCATTTGTGGGAACCAAGCTGGCAATACCCGTGTAGTATATAAGAACGTGTACAATCCGCATAGTTGCATGTGTTGAATCAATTCCATTGCCTCTCTCTCCACTTCAAAAATCTTGAATTGCCTCTCTCGCCACATCAAAAATCTTGAACAGAATACAACATGTAAACCTAACAAATTCTCCAAGCAAATTTGACTCTGATTCTCATTCAACCAAGTGGCAGCAGTTCTTCCCCTCCAAAGCTTCAGGAAGTGAGAAGCCTAGAGGAGTCAACTTGGAATTAAGCAGTGTCAGTGTCAACTCTGGACCATTGACCCACAGGGTGTCCCAGTCCCCACTTTGGCCAGCTCACATCTTTGACCTTTGGTAGGCATCCTTTGCCAATTTTTTGACAACCGTTTTGCGGAGGCAAAGGGTGACAAACGCTCTTCATGGCAGACCTGCTCCTTCGATGCCCTCGCAAAGCTCCAACAACTGCTGGAGCCTTGGCACAGCCGCGGCACGCAGCCGCGGCAGCCGGCGCTGGTTCTGGGCCGCTGTCTTACTTACATAGATAGGGCCAATTGTGAGGGCCCTTTAGGCCTTCTGCTCCGTGCAACTCCAGTGGAAGGTAAGGTGTTCATCAAGTTAACCTCATTGGACCCTCGGAAACCCACATCGGCTGAAGCCAGTCGCTTGGAGCCTCTGGGGCCTGTGCTGATCTTCACAGGGTGCCAGGAGTCTCACCACGTCAGGATGATCTTCCAACCATGAGGCTTTCATCCGTTCACCTGGCGGAGAGTGGTACAGCTCAGTCCGGGAAAAATCCTCAACTGTTTGACTTGCCAGGCTATCCGCGGCTGTGTGCCTTCGAACCGGAAACCAGAAACAGAGATAGAACCAACAAACGATCTGCAGATCTTCCTGTCCCGGTCCCACATACTTCAGACTCAGTCCAGGTAGTACCTGGGTTCCGCACGGCCTAAAGTAGGGAGGCATGTGTGCGAGCATGAAACAATACATCGAACGAACGGTACAGTATTTCTTGCTCTCCTCACATTCCGCACTGGGAAACTTGGAGGTTCAGTTAGGCAAGTGCAGCTTTGCTGAGATTGCCCAGCTGTCAAAGGTACAACAAAGTTCTCACATCTCATATCATTGGCTGTTGTGACCAGACCATATGGACATTAAAATAGTCATTCTCTAACTCATCTAATTCAGCGCTTCATCTTCTGGGAGGGGTCCCGTCTCGCTTCCGGGTTGGGAAACTCTGCTCCCTTCTCGTGAAGTCATGCCAAAGAGATTGAAATTCACGTGCAAAGGGCTTCACTGCCGCTGGCTCTCGAAGAATACACAAGTTTTCCCAGTTGCTCATACTGGCTTGCTTTGTCCAGTTAAAGCTCCCAGTCAAGACGCAATCATCCAGAACGGCGAACTTGTGGTGCATCCTTGCCGGAGACGAGTCCAGTAGCAAGGGCACTCCAAACTGGGACAATTTGGAGGCATCCGATCCGAGGGCATGACATTGCTCATCATCCAAGATCACCTTCACGTCCACATTTCGTGCCCATGCATTCAAGATCTCTTGACTCAGCACATCATCTGTGAGAGTGAACATGGCAATCCACATCCTCCTTCGCGCAGACCGGAGCATGTGACAAATGTGCCGTACATGAACCCCAGAGCTATCCGGGAAGAACAACACTTCGGGGTTGCACCGGAGGCGGCTTCGCAGCGCCAGGAAGATGTGCCCAAAGAGGAAGGACAGTGCCAAAAGCCACATCAGGAGTGAAAAAACACTGAAGGAATCTGGCAGCAGCTGGGCATATTCTGGATGAAGCTTCAAGAATTCGGCACCTTTCTGACGCATGTAAAGTTCCAAGCTGTTCATGAAAGAACTCCAAGATGTCACTGATGAGAATGCGAAATCTCCAAGCTCTGGGAGAAAAGAGACAATATCTCGCAGGAGCCAAGCAGTTTCATAGATCAAACACCCAGCAGTCCCCCAAAAGCCTGGCATCCAACCACTGGCTAAACTATGAACAGGGAAATTCAACAAAGACATGTCAAAAGCATCTCCGTGCTGTGAACTGTTTCACACCTTACTTCCTAGATGGCCCCATTGTTATACAGTACACGCAAAGTTCATGCCACCCCGCCTGAGTGATGACACAGTGCATCTGTCCCTTCGACCGAGCTGCCCGCAGCGAAGAAGCTCATGCCAGTGGGTTGAATCTGCTACGTGAAAGATGCAGAGCTTCTAGTAGCAATGGCCTCCAACCTACTAGCGGCGATGGCCTCCATCATCAAAATGTATTTGGTGATGTTCAGTGGAATCATTAGAGACTGTCTGCATTTCTGCGGAACCCTTATCATGAGGTGTCCATGTGCCATTGCTGCTGTGTGCCTGTGAAACTCCATCAAGCAAATAAAAGGCATGACAATTCACACAGTTTAATCTGACTGGATGGTTACCGGTTACTTGTCCTTTGAGAAGTTCTGCCTTCATGCCTTCATCAACAAATGTCGGGTCTTTTGTTTACCAATGCTTCCCTTAGATGTGTGAGACGTCAAGAAAGTGAGTGTTTTCCAGCACGTTGAGGATTCTCACACCGACCTCTGGTGCTCCCAAACCACTGGTCAAGTGCTCTGCTCCCACGCCTTGAGAACAAGCACCAGTTCCTTGAGGACAAGAGTTTGGCGGACAAACTGACGAAAACGAGTAACAAGGATGCTATTAGGGGTTCCTGGCCCTACTACTAGGAACAAGAAGCTATTAGGGGTTCCTGGCATCGCTACTAGGAGCAAGGACGCTATTAGGGGCTCCTGGCCTTACTACTAGGAACAAGAAGCTACTAGTAACAAGGACGCTATGCTCGGTGGAGGCCATCGCAAGTAGGTTGGAGGCCATTGCTACTAATAACAAGGAAAGCTCTGAGGCTCTGAGGTGATAATTTCTTCCCTGTCTTCTGATGGGCAAATGGTCAATGCAGGTGATGTTTCAGGGGACATCCGTGACCGAAACTGCTAGATGGTGTTCGCAAAAGCATTCAAGTTGCATTGGGCTGCAATTGAGCAATCAATGAATGCCTCTGGATGCCACCATTGCAAGAGGAAATCGTAACAAGTTGAGGGCGGCATTATCCGAATCTACTGAAACTCAGCTTGACACAAAGACTTTGAGCTGCAGGCAACCCATGAATCTATCAAAAATCCGATCCCCCCATTCAGCAACTCCCGAACCACCGCCAAGGCACGTCCAGGTTGTTCTTCCGCCGCCTGGCAGACGCAACATCATTTCAAGAATCCAAACACCAACCTGAACCGGAGGTAATTCGCACAATAAGGAAATTGTGCTAAGGTCCTTCACATCGATCTATGCTCCACCTGGTTGTGTTTCATGCTATGCACCATCTGGCACTTTGGAGAAAAATGAGGCACCCAGGGCAAAGGCAGCTCACCGGGTTGGTTTGGAATCCAAGTCTTTGAGAAGTATTGGCAAATGAATGCATGAGAACGACAAAACCACACAAATGTTGTGCACATCGGCTTACATCATCAGGATGGAATCCTCAAGCTTGTTTGTCAACGGCACACCTGTGCTATATGAGTAAAGAGTATTTGAGAGTGGCTCAAAGCTTCATGTATGCGAAAACGCTGAACGCCCGTTCCCTCTTTCGAGAGCTGGGCCTTGCTTCGAGCCTGACGAGGACGCACGTGAGCAGTTGAGCTGGTGGCCGTTTCACAAATGGGATGTCCCAATTCACATGTTGGGAAGAAAAACAAACGATTCTTTAAAGGGGGGTAGGCCGTAGAGGTAGTAGCTAGGTAGCTAGTGAAAGAGGTAGCTAGTAGCTTAAGAAGGTACTGCTTAGGACGCAGGATAGCTCACGCTCACACTAATGATTTGGTTCCTAGATTTTTAGTGAAACTTAATAGCTTCTTGCTACTAGTAGCGATGCGCTTGTTACTAATAGCGATGCCCTTAGTTACAGTACTAGTATATATCTGGTTTGGGTTTCCTCAAGTTTCCTGTCTACAGTATACTTGGGAAAGCATCGCCCACTCAAAGCTCTGTCTTCTGTTGCGTCAAACTGCAGAGCTTGCTCCTTCAACATCGAAGAAGAAGCCCTCACAACCTTCATTCAGTACATATTTCTCAACTTCCGCGGATGAAAACACTGCGCATTCAATGTTCTTTTCTGATGTATTGCACTCTTTCAGGACCGTGCGAAACGAATCTGCCATCTCCAAAAGGGGCCTCGGGTCGTGAATCAGCAGCTGCTAACTGGCGTGACCTCACACGGGAACCCGAACGAGAAGCAACTGACGGAGATCCGGTGCGAACACTCGACGGTCGATCTGAGCCTTCCGTCCTCGCCGGGAAAAGCCGAAAGAAAGTTCTTAGTCCAAATCTAGTTCGGAATCCGTACTTTGCAGAACCTATCGACAATATGTGTTACTGTGAGAGCATTGCATGACTCAACCAAACAACACTACAAACCGCAGGTCCTGTCAAACGTCCATTTGAAACAATAAGAGTTGGAGTCAAATGAGCCAGTTCTTTTAGCAAACGCCAGATCAGAACATTATCCGATACTTCTCCCTTGCTCCACCTGCCGCAAAAATCATCATCCTGCAAAGTATGACCACAGACTAAGTTTCCTCGGCATAGCATTTGCCTTTGGCCGCCATTAGGATCCAACATCAATATGTGCATCTTCAAAATGTGGTTAGTTGCTTGCTGTAAAACACCTGAAAATTCAGCTACTATCAACTACTAATGTTTATATTGTATAGATACACTTATGTTTTGACCTTGCATTGCAAGTTAGCACCATCTCAACACTAACATGCATCAGCTCTTGTCAGCAGATAGTCCTCCTCACCCTCTCGCAGAGAGAAAAGCACATCGAAGAAGCGCCAAGCCTGTTGGCTCATGAGGAGTAGTTGGGTCTGTGCAATCGTTGACTAGAATGTGTTAGAATGTCTCGTTTGTGGAAGCGGCCACTTCCCAGACTATGCAGCGCAGTGTCAAATCTGATTCCTTAGAATCGCTTCAGAACCGTACAAAGAAGAAGCACAGAAGAGGCTGAACTAGATCTACAAGTTCATTTCAAGCATCCCTCCAATCACACGAAAGAAGAAAGTCTCTCTGCTTTCAAGTTCCTTTCCTCTTGCATCGCATCCCAGATGCCTCTTCAAAAGCCTTCAAGGTGGTATCATCTACATTGATTCGCTCCTGCCAAATTAGAACCTTGCGTCGTCGCGTTTGGTTGTTTGTTCTCAACCGCTGAACGTCGGGAAGGCCTAGCCACCCCCACTGATTGTCACGTACCACGCAAATCCACTAGGACTGGTCACTTGTCCCTGTGGTCCCAAATTGCCCTCGTGATCTGCATTTTGGTTCTCTCAGCCACCTCTTCACATATTCAGATAGATAGACAGACAGACAGATAGATAAATAGATAGATATGAGGTTGCCAGGTGGTTCCCTTTTAAATCACCAAACGAGCTGTCACTTGGTCGCTTGGCACGTCGATTTCACTCCTCTGGAGAAAGCCGCTCCAGGACCTTCAAGGCGACCTGGAGTCGATCCCATTCGGCGGAGCCAGCGAGTTGAAATTCAGTCCGGGTCTGCACTCTGCATCTTGTTACATGATGTTACATGATCTTTAAATGTTGTGTGTCTTTTCACAATGCTCTTTCATCCTGCTTTACATGCACTGCAGTTGCCTCGGTTCGCAAAGCGGCAGGGTCCAGGATCATCTGATCCTGGAGAAGTACTAGGGATGCAGTTCCGCATGAAAAGGTTCTGAACTCATCACTCCATGCAACGAAATGCGGGATGTCTATATATATATATTGAAGTATAAAGGTTCTTTCAATTGAGACAGTTCCTGAGGTCGATCTTCCGTCCCAAAAGGAGCAAAGCGCAAACCGCCGATCCCACCAAGCAGTCCCGAGGATCGCAGATCAAGACCTTGTGACATCTCACCTAAGGACATCGCAGAGTCGTTGTTCGCACTTGATTTTTCAATGAAACAAACACACCTCTGCCGGACTCTGCCGGACTCTGCAATGCAGGACAGGAACCAATCTCAAAGACAAGACTCGTCAAAATATGATGATTCTTAAGGGAGTGCTCAATGAGCCTCGAGAAAGTTCTCCGTGTTGTCGGCAACCATGGACCTGCCATAACAATTTGTTCGACACGTGATGGCGTTAACAGGCTACCACATTTTCCCGGCACCCTCTGCTGGACGGAGATTATGGTTCGACCTTGAAATGACAAGACATCATCTTATGTTTGAAGAATGTCAGCTACCGGCTATAGCTTGAGCATTTCAATGAAACATATACATTTCTCTCTGTTCCATGCGGCTTTCTGAAACTTCTTGGAAACTCCTGAGGAGCTGAAGGCGAGCGCTTATGGCCCAAGCCTGCCAAGTTGCCTTCGGCAAAAGGCCAAAAGACCGGCGTCGGTGTGGCCTGACCTGCCTTCGGGCCCTTCACCTTCGGCACTGATCATCTCACTGCGCTCAGATGACCACCTTCTGCGGCCGTTGGCTCAGCCAGCCTGGTCAAGAAGTGACAAGATGTTCGACAGAGTTCATGATCATTGCTCTTCCATGGGCAAGCAGCATACTGAACGAGAATCCAAGAAGTCACGCACGGTGATGTTCAAAGGAGCCAAGAAGGTAAAGAAACGTATGGGTTTTTGATCAAGTAGTGTAGAGCCCTCAAGCAACATTGTTGTCGTTCTGAGAAGCTAAACTCGATGCCACTCATGGAGCAAACACACAGCCAGGAAATGACATATCACGGTATCATGTTTTTTACTCTTATCGTTTTTCAGGTGTTCAGACATTCCGGAACCTATTTATAGGCGGCAGGGTTTCTTACACAACCTCGTTTGGCTAGGGTAGTCTCGAAGCAATGAACAACTTCCGAACTTATGATGTATTGGCCTTACCAAACCTCCTGAAATGAATAAAAGAATGACATCAAAACAGGCAGCACCAAATCAAAGGCTTGTCCACAGAGTACATGACAGGTGACGTGGCTCATTCGACACGCATGGCGAGTTGTCGCTTGATGCAAATTCACCCAGATCAAAATACAATAGAACCAAAATTCATCTGTCAACCAAATGGACTATGTGAAGGACCGCAGCAGCTGTTCACGGTGGACACATAAAATGACATCAGGACACAAGGTCTTTGCTCCCTGTAGAAAAATGTCCACCACACAATTCTGCAGGCGACTTCTTTTGTCACAGTTCCGGTCAAATCCAGGCTGTGCTTGCAGGACAGCTAGGACAGCTAAGACGCGTGGGTGTGTCTCCAAGACTGGACCTCATCTCCCCAAGATTGTTCTCTTCATCATCCACATTGTTGATGCTTGAAAAGACATGTTAAGAGATTCTCTCGAATTGGGGAAGACATCCCAATGTCTTTTTCTGAAGACATCCCCATGTCAAAAGTAGTACTTGTCCTATCTTATCCTAGTGTCCTCAGTCAAGTGACACCTGGACTCGTGCTCTTGATGCTCTCCAGCTCGGGCCGTATGGCCGTTGTTCAAGCAGTTGGAGCCGATCACTTCGAGCTCGGGCTCGGATCAGCTGAATTCGATTGAGCAGTGTCATATGGTTTCGGGATGTGTCATCTTTGATGAGTCTTTATGAAGAGGAAGATATCGGTCACGTTATGAAGAAGAAGTGACGACGTTGTGCTACTGTGAATCACCAACGACTGAATCGTCAGAAGTACTGCGCTTTTACCTTTGAGTTCCAACAGAACTAAACAATACTGAGATGTGTCCAAGACCAGGTTTGTCCAAGTGAACTTGAAAAATGTAAGGCGGCCCTTAGCTCAAATGCCTTCAATTATACATATTTTTCCAATGTTGCCTTCAGCTCAGGCCAAGCGGGATCAGCAGACAGCTCCGCATCCTTCTCTGTGTTGTCAATGAGTTGCTTCCTTGCAAGACCAATGCAAAATGCATCTGGCAAATGATTTGGTTCGTGGCCATTGCGTCACAAATCAACCAAAGCGAGCCCAATACAACTGCTGCACCCACTTAAAATGGGGATACGGGGTGACTCATTCTGAAGTGCACCACTGAAGAATGGGACTTAGGGATATCCTGGGTGCTGGACATCTTTCCAAAAACCGGAGTGTCTGACACGGTGTGCCCACCAAGCGTCGCAGTCTTTTGTTGCATCGCCTTGAAAAATTCTGTGATCAGCTCCTTCCACTCCTCCTTGTTGATTTCTCCATCCCCGTTCTTGTCAAAGGTCTTCATGAGCTCTTCCTGCGCTGACATTTATGACCCATTTATGGCCCTCTCTCTACACTGCAGTTAGCCATATGGTGTCCTGTCCATGAGAAAATCACAACCTCCACTAAGTGCGATGCCACAAACAGCTGCTGTTTTTCTCGTTTGGTGCTCCGTCCTTGGAATCCACACCGTCCACAGCACGAATGATGGAATCTGCCATTGGGCCCAACTCGGAGACTTTCACTTTGCCACTGCCATCCTGGTCGAATTGGCCAAACATGTTCGTGAAGACCTTAGATCACCGGTTTCTTCCCCACGGCTCGGTTTCCTCACAGTTCTTGGTTCACAACGAAAGCAGACTCACGAAGTGTTCTCCGACAAAAGAGCTCCATATCCTTGAAATCGTTTGATGGTTTAGAGTCTAGAGCTTGGTTAGTCACCGCTTGGCCACTGGCTCCTAGTTGACGAGGTGATCCTTTTGCTACAAGTTCTGCCAAAACTCATATTATCAAAACATGTTATGCCCAAACACTCTTCCAAAGGGGGTAGGCTTCATCCTGTTCTTTGCTGCTGTGGTGGCATTGATGTCTGTCGTCTCTTGGATGTCCGTTTGCTCTCTTATTGCTTGCTTTTCTTGTGTTTCCTTCTGACGTCCCTTTGTGTCCTTGTGATTGCCTAGTCCACGTGTTTCCATGTGCTAATCTCGTGGAAGAAGTTTAAAGACCGGGCTGAGTTCGACACAAGTGGACGCGGCTGAACACAGAAAGCAAAGAGAGAAAGCTTGCTCCTCCGCAGACGAGAGACTTCCGCATTCTGCATGAAGTTCCTCACAAAAGGCGAAAGAGCCAAAAGGCGCTTGACTCTGCTGGGTTAAGAATCCAAGAGCAAAAGCAGTTCTCGCTAAAGTATCTACACATTCGGCCTCTGCCCCTATTAAGTCAGTTTCACGTGGTTCATCCACACCGAATGCAAACACACCGAATGCAATGTTCACCTTTTTGATGGAATCAACCACCTGATGAATCATTCTGCCGAGGGTCTCCACCATTTTCACTCCTCCAGCGAGCTTCTCAATGAGTGACCTTGTGTCCTCTGTCGCCACTGTCTGTGGAGCAGAAGATACCTTCGCAAAAAAATAGCTTTCCCATCGATTTGCTTCGTGAAAATCTTCGGCCTTCTTCAAGGTTTTGGCTGGTGCACGTCACCAGTTTCAAGGCCTTTAGGTCCAAACTGTCTCACGAAAATGACCTGCTGGCAGACCAAAAAACGTCTCAAAAGCTTCAGAAGACCTTGGCCCATCAGATCCCAGACAGATTTCACGCCAAGGTGCTAAGGAGGTTTTCTCCGTCTTTGTGAGAGCCTCCTCGAGCTTCTGCTTGCTCTCAGGTGGAAGATCTGCTACCACTTGCTTCACTTCTTGCGCCGAGGCATTCTTCAAAGCTTCGGCCGACACGCCGGATCCCATAATCGCTCTTTGAGGGGGTTCGAAGCGTGGGGAGCTGCAAGGCAGAAGACTGAGCTGCAAGGCGTTCAAGGCACAATCTTTCGATTCATCATGGATGGACGCCTGGACTCTCTTGTATTGATGCAACACTAGGGTAAGCCAAGCTTGGCTTATTGAAACAAATTGAACATGTTCATTTCTCCGAGTTTTGTCTCTCAAATTCACGCATGATCTTGACTGTTGCAGCTTTAACTGCACCCAACTCCCCCCTTCCCATCCGCCTGTCTGTCCACAAATTCCCTCATCAGCTGCATCGTTGCCATGTGAACGAGTGAACCGAAATGGATGCGGAGAAACTAAGTTCCTTGCAAATCTAGGTTGGAGGCCATCGCTTCTAGGTTGGAGGCCATCGCTACTAAGGTGGAGGCCATTACAAATAAAATGGCGGTACCGGATGGTACCGGTACCTTCGTTAACTTGCACAGCACCAAGAACCGGGAAATCGAAAGAGGCAGGCCTGCAAAGTCGATCCTGGATCTACTCAGGGTCGTCTATGTCTACTCCGAGCACCAATCTGCAAATATCTGCAAAACTGGTTTGTGCGTTGATGGCTCAACATGGCTCAACTATCTCCACAGAGTGTTCCCCATATTCAAGATGTCCCGAGTGGTGTCTGTTTTGTCCTAACACTTATAATGTATTTGGTGTGGCCGCTTCAAAAACGTCCGGCTGGCTTCCCTGGACTCTGCCATATGGGCTTTTGCTGCGAACGTCAGTGGAGGCTCTGACTCGGCGGCCGTTTTAGCGCCTGCAGAACGGGCGGACCACTACGCCGATCGATGCATTCGCAGAGGATAACGAATAGGATAGCAAGCACCCAAGTCAAAGCCGACTCAGTACAACAAACCGAGAGCACAAACAGTGGTCTCCAAATTTAGAAATACCTGCTTTGCTGGTTTTTGTCTCGCCACTAATGCATCTTGAGATTGTTGTGTTGGTTTAGTTGCAATTCCTCGGGCACTTCCAAGAAAAGGGTTCTCGGCTTCGAAGCTCCCACCGAAGTAGAGCAAGGACGCTACTAGGGGCTCCTGGCATCGCTACTAGGAGCATGAAGCTACTAGGGGCTCCTGGCCGTACTACTAGGAGCAAAATTCTGGCCTTTGAAAAGCTCTCCACATCACCACCAGGATCACCACTCCAGCTGCCACAGCCACCGGGAAGTGGAATCGCTTGAATCGATCTGCGTCGCGCTGGCGAAGCTCCAAAAGGCAACGCCACCTCAGCAACTAACGAGGTCTCAAACTAGAGAGATCTAGAGAGAAACCAAAATGAACCAAATATATACAAATTCAATGATGTGTGAACCGGGATCCCCGGATGAGGACCAAAAGGTGTTTCAATCCATTACACCAGCGGTTCTAGAATCTGCGTCATCTAAAGACCATCTCTACATCCACAGATCAACCAAGACAAGCAACCCTCATATCCATACCATCTATCTATATATGTATTATTAAGTGTCTATACAGTCACGGTACATATTATGATTCCTCTCTACCTTCCAATAGGCCAGTTCTTTGGTCTCAGGTGCTTCTCTTCGCCTGGCTCCGCCTCACCAAGACCTGAGACTAGTGACTTTTTTAAGGAACGACCCAATGACCGGATACGGTATGTTTGGGTACTGGTACCTCTGTGTACCTCTGGAGAATCTTTAGATGTTTGCGAAATCCTTTTTGAGATCAATAATGACTATCCTCATCGATCATCGATCTTCATCTATCGTCTATGTCTTCCTATGTGCTCTGATTCTCACAATCTCGCAACTTGAGCTGGCCAGCTGGGCTTTGGACGGTGGAGGCCTTCACATTCCGCCAGCGAGAGCTCGAGGTCAAAGTGGGACCTGGACGCCGGTGACGAGCAAAAAGAACACTGTTCGTTGTGCTTTCCCCACCTTCGAAATCTTCAAATAAGTGCACCAACAATTTGACAAGTACGAGAAGACCGGTATAGTCACTGTGAATTCTTCCAGTCTTCCGGGCCTCAAAAGTTGCTGCAGGTGCTTTCCAGACTCGATAGAAAACTTCTGGCAGCTTCCAGCAGCCTCTCGCAGAAAGTGCGAGCCTCAATAGTGACTGACTGGTTCATCCACTCTCTTTCCTCACTCCATGTGTAGCTATTGGCTTCAGTCCGCTCTAACCTTCTTGACTCATTCAAATTCGTGTTTTCGACTGCCCCAGATTCATAGTGTTGCATGGAAATCTGAAGAGGAAATGAAATTTCAATTTGAATGACCACCAGGTCTAGGACTTCAAGGAAGCCTCAGCCGGTACACATGTCTTTGCAGCATAATTACATTAATGTGTCATGCATTACCCCGTTAATACAGTACTTAAAGAATAATGCCTTTGCATGCCTTTGCAGCATAGTGCACTATGCTGCAAATGAATCTGCAAATGAGACACCCAAGATCCGGATGTGCTCCCGATCGCGCCGCTCACACCACAGTCTCTGCGTAAACGGGCTCTCGAAATATCCATAAACCTCAGACTGGCTTGTCCTTAAGGGAAGCTTTCAATCTCGTTGCTGTCTTTGGGTTTCATCGAGCAGCTGCTTCTCGTGGCATACTTCCAGTGTCTATGGACGCTTCGTTTCACCCTGTTTCACCCCGTTAACATTCAGAGGAGTCTTGCGCCAAAGGGGCTTTCAGATTCAAGGGAATGGAATCCACGTAGCTCAAGTCCTGCACTGGCAGGATAGAGTAGCCACGCATCCACTTGCCGTCAATTTCAACCCACAACATGTAGGTGTCGTAGTCCAGGCCTACAGAACGGAGCTGGCACAGAAAGCATTGCTGAGGTGGATTATTCTAGGTGGAAAGGTACATCCATATAGAATGACATGGAATCCATCATAAAACTTGGAAAGTGAGTCGCTTCAAATGGTGGAGCACTACTCTTTGCATACCATGCTCACACATCAACAATAGACCGGCCTACAAAAAAGAAACTTGCAAAACATCTCAGAAGTGGCTTACACAACAGATCCAGGAAGAAACGCTCTGATGCTCCGACAGTCTCGTCGCCTTGAAGCGTCTTGAAACTTGAACTCTCCAGCCTCATTCCTTGCCCGAAGAAAAACTGGAACAAACGTTCCAGGAAGGTCTAAAATCTCCACAACGAATCAAGAAGCGTTGATTCTTTGGAGGTTTTTTGACTTGAAATCAAACTGAGGTCAGCGGGTCGGCAAGAATGCGGCGGGGGGTCAAGGAAGCTTCGCTCGTCTGACCGGAGAAGCTTCCTTGTAGCACCCGCGCTGCCCAAAGCCGTTTTTTAGATGTTCCGAACAAGAACTCTTGTAGCAAGAAGGAGGTGCCGACAACCAGAAATCCTGGGTGCTCTTCGAAACAGCGTCAATCACAAGTCGTGCAAGGAAGTGTATTGCCGGCAGCCATATCAACAAATTTAGGAACTAGAAGGAGGTAAATGCAGCTGCCAACCAGAAAACCTGGGTGCTCTTCGACACAGCGTCAATCCCAAGTTGTGCAAATAAGTGCACTGCCAGCGGCCATATCAACAAATTTAGGAACTAGGAAGTAAACGCGGCGGACAACCAGAAATCCTGGGTGTGTTTTAAAGAAACAGAGTCAATCACAAGTCGTGCAAGCAAGTACAGTATATTGCCGGTTGCCATATCAACAGCTTGTCAGCTTGTGCACAAAATTATCTCAAAGCCATGAAAAGTACGCATTCTCAAGCGACACCTTCAAGCCAAGCGGCTGGTGTGTCCATTTTGGAGCACTCCTGCAGAAAGTGCGAGCTTGGTCAGTCAGATCCAAAGGGAGCTGAACCGAAGCTGCACAGCTCTCCTTGGTTCAGCTTCTCCAAGCTGATGGGCTCAAACAGTCCAACCTTCCCAAAGGCCACGTCGCACAAATACGGTGGACCAGTGGTGCCGGCGTTCACTAGCAGACCTGTTCAACAAGAATCTTCCACTTCTGCCAGTTCCATTCACTCATGGTTAGAGGACGCTACTAGGAGCAAAGGGCATCGCTACTAGGAACAAGAAGCTACTAGGGGCTCCTGGCATCGCTACTAGGAGCAAGGACGCTACTAGGGGCTCCTGGCATCGCTGATGCTTTATCAAAGTTCAAGGTCCTCAGCTCCAGGCACATGTGCGTGTGCAGTGGCGGTGTTGGCAACCTTCGCACATACAGGAGTCAGTCTTGCTTGTGGAAAAGAAGTGAATCTCAACACGCTTGCACTCTCGCCTGGGCGTTTCTCCGTCATCCAGCCATACACGAGCAGCAAACGGCTGCACCTGAAAGCCGAGGTGAAGCAGGAACACTGCCAAGAGCTTGTTCCTGGGCCGGTGCTGAAAGTGCTTGGAACATGTTGATTCGACCCATTTGTGGTCTTCAGCTTCTTCGTTGTTCTTCCGTTTCCCAACAGCAGATCTGTGGATCTGCACATCACCCCCTTGTGTTAGCAATCTCGACAAAAGCCGGGTGGTTGAGGCTTGGTCTTGAGACAAATCCAATAAACAAGTCAGACAAGCTTCAGCTCAAAACAATAGCCTCCACGCCTGCCGGAAGGCATTCCAAGCACAATGGAGTCAAAAACCCACAGCTCAAAGAACAAACATGGAGAGTTACTCAGTCAGAGCAAACATCTTCTGCTAGAACCAAATCACTTCTGCTAATCATGAGCCAAAGGGATGTAATGTGATGTGATGTGATTGTGATGGAAAGGTTAGAAAGAGCATGAATTAGCTGTGAAGCTGGTGATTAGCTGCACCACATGCCTGCTGCTGCCATCTGGTCCACACATCTTGTCAATGATGTCAGCAATATCCTTAGCATGGGCAGCATGGGTCAATTGGAAGACTGATCTGAGCTGCCCGGAGCGGCCAAGGCTCTAAGGAGACCCAATCCTCTCGCAAGGCGGTAAGGTTTTCGAAAGGCAAAGCCTCAGGGATAAGAAGCGGAAGTGATCATGTTCCACTGAAAGCTTTGAGCAAGTGACGCAAGTGATTGTGGTCGGTTCCAGGGGCATGGCCGGCTCATCGGCTCATCCCGAAGAGAAGAAGCAGAAACTATTTTCGGGACAGGTGACCATCGCATCGTCTTCAACTGGCCCGTGTTGGGTGTAGGTTGAAATTGCAAGGTGTCCCAAAGCCGGGAGTCCCTCCAATGACACCTGACCTCGATCCCAGAATCTACCGCAAGATCTGAATAACTCTCCAAGCAACACTGAAGAGCCCGCGATGAACCTTGAAGAGCAAGTCTGGACCTGCAGCCTCCTGGACAAACCACAAGCCAAAAGCACCTTCAAGCCAACAATTCTGCCTAACACCAAACGCGGCCCATGCAGTTTCACTCTTAGAGAGGGCCAAGACAGCCCCAAGACAGCACCGTCATAATAGAACAGGAAGGCATGTCAACTCTTTGGCTCTTTACATGTTTTTACATCGAGACTGGCCTCACCACAGAAGCTGTCCGACTTGTCTCAGATGGCGAAAAACACAAGATTTCAAAATATACTTCTCCAAATGTTTCGTCACACTCAAGAAGTGATCGTCATGTCTTGCTCCTATTTTTGGAGACTTGACGGTTTGACAAAAGCTTAATTAAAGAAAAAAGCCTCTGCAGGCCTCTGGGTTTTCGTTGGGGGAGATGAGCCACCGCTTTTTGGGTCAAAGTTCGTCCTCGCACTCGTCCAGTAGACATCGCTTCCGCAGGCGTTTCACCTGCGACTTGCTAAGCTTCACATCATGAACACGTTGGTAGCTGGGTGGCAAGGCCATGGCGGCCATGGCACAAAAGACACTGACGTTCCTAGTAGCTTCTCCTTCCGTAGTAGTAAGGCTAGGAGCTACTAGTAGCGTCCTTGCTCCTAGTAGCGATGCCCTTTGTTACTAGTAGCTTCTGGTTTACATTTGGTGCCTTCCTCTTGTTGACTTGCCATGCTGCCGCCCTGCTTTATCTGGGATTCCTCGGGTGTTGGGATTGAGGATCTTGAGGTCCAGTCAATGATTGGGGATCCCGAAGAAGGGATCCTGCCAATGATTGGGGAGATGCTCTGGGAGTTAGAACCTTTGTATAATGTATATAGCTATTTCGGACACTAGCCGTTGGCCCATCTTCCTCTAAGTCCATCTCGACGTTTATTGGCAGACAGTACGCAACTCCGCAAGGGTGCTGTAGATAGCTGCGGACAGGTTTGACGGCCAAAGCATGAAGATCTTGAGGATCTGTACATCGCTTGAAGTGAACTGACCACTTCACACTGCGAGTCAATCAAGTGCTTGCTGTTCTCCTCAAGTAGAAACAGGTGCATAACTATCAGACGGATGGCGTTTCTCACCAAATTGCTGAAACCTGCTGAATGTGTGGACCTATGAAAGAAAAAACAAACAACAACAACAACAACAACAACAAGAAGAAGAAGAAGAAGAAAGCATCATTCAAACATGCCTCTGCCTGTTCCATCTTAAACATGCCAGTGGCCAACGTGGCTCGCAAGCCCTTCGCTGCCCAGGCACCATACCTAGTTGTCACCCCCAATCGAGCAAGGACTGGTGAAAAGCGGTTGGGGAGTTGAGGCGGTTGACGCCCTCAGCGAGTCCTTTTATATACATCTTTTTACCAGTGGTCTGCTTGTCGGAGAATCGGACACCATCAAGTAATCGTAGCTAAACCAACGTAATTGAGCTTGGGAAGACAAAACATGTTTGCAAAAGGTCACCTCAACCAAGCCTCAAAGAGATGGTGTGCTTCTCCGAGTGAAGACCAAAACTCTAGATCGGGCTACTACAGCCGTGGGCGACCGAGACACTCTCTGCTTTCAGGAGGCCGAAAGATCACTTTGTGATAGTTAACCGCATGGCAAAAGCATGTAAAACCCTGCTTCACAAGGATCCGTTATCAAACTCAAGTGACATGTTTTTCTCTGGGTGGCTGGCACTCCGAATTCTTGTCGGAGTTGCACCAACTCACCCAGAATGCCCGTCTATACATTCCAAACAGTTTTCCAAAAGTCGCTGCAACTCACTCTGTTCGCTATCGCCTGTCTTTCCTCATTCTTTGGCCGTTGGTTTCCCTTCTTCCAGATCTGAGAGCACCGTGTGCTTCTGGTCACAGGCATCTCGACACTTCACAAAGCCCACATACAGCAGGACCACCAGCAACAGCCCAACCAGCGCAGCAAGTGTGATGATAATCGCCCCCTGCGGTTGGTTCCAATCAAATTGGCTATAGAGCGGGCAGAGCTCCTGAGGGTAGTCATCACAGGGCGTTCGCGTGCCAATTCGGGCCACGAAGTGGATGATGGTCCATGCCAAGTAAGTCAATAAGAACATCAAGGACCAAATTCCATTTTTGAAAGAGAAGGGTATGCGGCAAGCAAATAAACTGATGAGCAGCGCGATCCAGTCTAGGAAATGTGCCCACAAGGAAGAGAAGATCACAGGCTCCACATCCCAAATTGGGTTCACGATTGTCCAATACAGCAAAACTACCACTAAGGAGATAGGCTGAGCGCAATACCACATGGCAACCGTGATTCGAACAAAGAGAGGGGTGGGTAAAGCTTTGTCTGCCGTGGGCAAAAGAGTATAGCCCCACAAGACTGAGACGAAGAGACAAAGCACGGTCGCGGTCTCGAAGCATATTGCCCAATTCGTGAGGTAAAAAAAGTAGTAAATGCCATTGCCTACAAGAAAGTCACTGAAATGAAGGATCTGCAGGGCCAAAAAGGTACTCGCCAAGACAAAGTTGAAGATGACATAGGCCAACGGATTCATCCATGGCGATGTCGCAATTTGGTACGGCCAGTCTACATCAATGCTGAAGATCTGGCACATGGCTCCACTACCTTGAGTGGCACAAAATCAGATTGGGCCGGGCGAGTGTACCAAGAATGGCTGCAGACGGTCTGCGTCGTGCAAAATGGCATAAAACATGTGCCATGCTCGCCATGCCAAAGCAATTAAGCCTTCAACTGTGTGGCCATCTCAGGCTGCTGCATATATCTAGCAGCTCCCTCCAACGTGGACATCGTCCTGTGTGTTCCAGCTTGTGCATAGCGGCGTCTGAACACGAACCGACTTCCCAAATGGATTCATACTCCGAATCTCTCCAAGAATTGTTACAAGACCATGGCCGTTTCACCAAGACTCAAAGACCTTTCAGTCCTGTCGGTGATGAGGATCTTCACCTCAAACATGACTGTCCACTTGTGATGAGCCTCTACATTCCGTCTGTCTGGACTGCCCGCCTCTGGAAACCGCCGCGCCACATAGCAAGCAGCGACGCCACCGATGGATCTGACGCGCCACCGTGAGGGTCCCAAGTTCCAATGTATTCGGTCAATGACCAATCCATGTGGCGCAGTGTTGCTCTTTTAACGGTGAAGCCATGCCGTTCAAAAGAGCTCCCCTTCTGGCCTGCCGTAGATGCCCATGTTGTTCACACCTCGACCTCCTGACAGGCAAATGTGGGGGCCACGGTATGGTTCAACAAAAAGTTCAAAAGAAAGTAAACCACCTGCGCCAAAGAGAAATAGGTGTAGATACCCCTGAAACGATATGACTGTTTGGTAGATTCACAATGTACTCCTAGCGTTGTTGTGCTTCTTTAACAGTCTACACCCTAGCTCATCCCCTTAACTGCGGGGGTGGGGTAGTGACGACGCATGAGGGATGCGTCATAGCCACTAGACCATACCAGCTCTCTGTACTCCTAGCGCTGCCAAATCAGGAATCTCACGAAATCTCACATGCGAGAGAGATATCTGGGTGACCTTCCAATTGCGGAAGCCCAACCATGGAGCCCGAAATGTCGCCAAATCCGAAGAGGTGCGTTGTTTTCGGGACCTCTGATCGTGTCAGACCTGCCAGTGAACAGACCTAGGAAGACGATACGCCCGGCAGGAGCGGCGCTGCGAAGGCGCGCCTTTGAGGAATCGCACCACTGCCTCTCCATCCTCCAAGCACCATGAGTGTCATGTCGAGACCAGTTCACTCCGCCACACAAAGAATATCAAAGAACAATGCACAGCACATCACAGCACAATGACCTGAAAAATTGCAAAGACACGTGCGGTCTGGACACGGATGTGGAATCTGCACTTCAAACCTCGACTGTTCCCCTTTGCACCTGAGAGACCCGAGAAGGAGAAGGCTTGCCACTGGAGCGCCTCATCTTGAGTGGGTCGCACTGGAAATCTGTCTTTAACAAACTGTTCAACTTGTGCCCTTTGCCTTTCCAGCTGATTCCAGCTTCCAATTTGAAGTCGATACGAAGCGTCAATGCCCCACGTATGGCACACTCGATGTCTTTGCCAAGGAACCCATAGCCGGCATAGTTGAAGAGAAAAAGGTTGCAACCTTCCACGCACAGCCACATGATGTTCTATTTGGTATTCAATCAGCTACACAGGCTCAACAGCCAACCTACATCCAAGCTACCACCTCTTTTGGCTCTGAAGCCACTGCGCCTCGATGCAGCCAGAACTTGAGGATTCCGGACTGGCGCCACGTTTATCATGGACGTGTGTCAAAATGAAACCTTGAAAGCTTTGGTAGGAAGAGAATCTTCATCTTCCTTTTGAGATGTTCACCCGGTGGTAGAGAATTTTGATGGTTTTGATACGACCATCTCGCGGCCCAAGTCTTGTTATCCAGTTTCCACTGCCATTGCTGAAACCAGGCAAAGCTGCTAGATAACTGCCGCAGCTACTTGTGTCGTTAGTGACGGCCACAGCTGATTGCTGACTGCCTGGTAGACCATAGCCTCATAGTAGGCTGCATTAGGGTTGCACCTTGGCCAATCTGAGAAGTGGAGATGTACACATTTCATCGTTTCGAAGTGACATCTGCAACCCTTGTTCCGCTCCTATTGGGCCACTCAGCCGACCTAGCCCGACCTTTCTCCTGACTGCCAAGCTGCCATATCAATGTGGGGCTCTCCTTGCAGCTTGCACAATTGCCCCAGGTCGTCGTCCCAGGTCCCGTTATATTGTCAACACAAAGGAGATGCTCTAAACTACCATTCCACGCCCTCCAATCTTGACCTCAGGGCATCCATACAATACATAATCCCTGCCTCCAGCAGGGGTGTCTCGTCTTTGGACACCTTCAAGCAAGCTCAGCGACTGCCCACATCATTCTAATGAAATGTGCCTGTCCTCATTTCTAATGCTTTTGTTCAGCCCTCCGAGATCCTCCGAGCCATATGCGTAGCCCATACGGGCAACTCTGGCAACTCTCTGCCCAACCCGCCCAGGACGCCTCCGAGTCAGGAAGGCGATAGCCCCGCTGGCATGGGATGAACATCGCCTCGGCTCGTTGAACTGTTTTTGTGGGAAAGCGAAGCTACTTCTTACCAGTACTGAAGCGGGTTTGAGACAAAGCCAACCGTGTCGCGGCTGCAGCTGTGTGTATGTTACGAATGTTCAAGCCGGAACCTTTGCGCGTGAAGAGCGTGAAGACTGATCCGGGGCCACAAGATATGCATTGAAATTGACCATGCACAGCATGTTGGGGCTAAGACTAAGATCAGCACCCCCATCTTTGCCAAGTCATGAAAAACACGAGGGAAGAGTCTGTGAAAAGTGAGATCACAAAGGTTGGTGGGATGTTCTTGGAGACTTGCTGCCAACCTTGCTTTCTAGACGGCGATCGTCAGAAGTCGTTTTCAAATCGATGAACCGATGCTCCACCAGTTCGAGTGGAGGTCGATGGAGCTGTGGTTCACTGTTCGAACACAATCTTTGTAGATCCTTTTGGCTGGGAGTTGGTTTCCTGGATAGAAATACATTTGGTCGTGAAAAAAAGCAACCGACGAACCCTTGAACTTGCTGGGGTGAAGGTAGATCCCAACTCGCTGGGTGCTCAGACCACTGCTCTCCACTGAGCACCGCGCGTCTAATCGATGACCGCCTCTTGTAGGTACCTCGCGGAGCGAAATGCAAGTCGACCGAGCGAATTGATGAACAATGAAGAAGTCGGGTCAACTCGCAATGTGAGGATCCAGTTCAACGAGTTCACTATTTGCTTCTTTATATATACAAAGAATAATGTTCAGGGCATCAGCTGCATACTATACCACCGAACTCATGTTGCAACAAAACTCCTTTTGCAAAGGACGGATACTTACTTCCTTCTTTGCTCCTGGTACAAGAGGGAAAGCAGGCGGAGAAGGACTGCCCACATCGTTTCTCACTGACAGATTTGGTCAAAAAGCTGGTCCGGAGGTCAGTCTGCCTGCCACTCGATCCATCCAGTACACTGGCTGCTTTGGAGGGCCAAAGAAATGAATTTTGAATTGACAATTGAGGCTGCGCTGACTTTTCAGGGCTGCCAAAGGCAAATCAGGCAAAAACAAAAATGCAACTACTCTGTGCACACCATTCGCACAGCTTGAGCGGCAATTCCAAGAGTCCATAGCAAACCCTAGCTCAAGGGGCGCGCTGCGCAGTTCGCTTGGCCAGCCTCTCTCGCAAGCTAAGTACACGAGGATGACTTGGTACTTGGGGCCCTTGGCAGTCGAGGCTGTTATTCTGAGGGCCTGAGCTTGCTGACCTTGAGGCGCTGAGCTTGCGCTTCGGGCGCTGTTCAGTCTCACTGGTCAGCTCGGTGCACTCAGGTGCTGGCATACTTGCCATGCTAGATTGACTCAAGTTCGGTTCAGAAAAGTCTTGGGAAACAAGCTCGACTTCTTCACTGCTGTCATCGCGCAGTTCAGCATCTGAACAAACATCATCCTCAACCTCCTGATTTTTGAAGTGTTCTGCTTGACACTCCATGTCAGGCAGTGATGGTGACACGGACAAACGTCGAGCACCGCGAATGAGCACCATCCATTCAGTGGGTCGAGCACAGGAGGGACATGCAGCAGATCCCTCCGGTATAAGCTGAGCTCCTTTAGTTTTCGGGAAAAGTTCAAGAGCACAGGGCGTCAAATGAAGTGGACATTCACAATGTGGGCAGCTCACGACGCGATCCGCTGGTTCCAAGCGCCCTGAGCATTTTGCACACACAGAGCTGGTCACAGGAATCATCATCATAGATTCATAGCACAGGCGTTCAAGCTCATCAAAACTGCCCAGAGTAAATGTCATGTGTGTCGGAAGCGCTCGTGCAGCTGGCATCTTTGGCAGCTGAGATTTAGCAGCTTCATCCAGGAAATGAACTCGCAAAGGCATTCGACTATATGGGGTGGCTTTCAACATCTCAATCAAAACCTGAAGATTCTGCGTTACACCCATCACGGGGGACTGTCTCCCGTTCCGAAGCTTGCAAAACTTCAGGTGCGCCACTTTGTCTCTGACATTTCGACACACATTAGGGTGTTGCCATGCAAACTCAAACTGCAGCGCCAGTACTTTGTTTGGAAATCCCCATACACAAAGAATCATTTGCCATGGTCTCCAGCGTTTGGTCCTATTCGCTCCAGCTGTGATCTCCCCGTTGTGCTGTCGCAAGCGTCGACGTGGGTCCATCGTGAAGCCAATGTAGGTTCTATTGCTATTGGTCAGGGACTGAAGCAAGTAGCAGCCATAGTAGGTTTGCATGGCGTGGCACACTTCAAAGCTGATGATCCTAATGGCTGCTCGGTTGGACTACAGGGGAAGCAAACGACGGGTTCATGATTCATGTAAACTGCATCTCTCTGTCTCCCTTGGTACCCAGAGTTGTTGCCCAGAGTAGTGCAGCTGCAACTCGGCCTGGGCACGGCAAGAAAGGGGCTTTTGGTCTTTGCATCCGTATCTTACTTCAGTCAAAAATGGGGACATCTCTCCTTCCTGCGATTGGAGCATGTCGTTCACATGTCCCTGTGTGCCCAAACGTATATAGTCCTGTGTGTGTGTATATTTTTTAATAGTTAAGTTATATGTTATATATATATATACAATATATCTATATATATATTCCAAATGACACAATTCACTCAAAACCTTCCCCGATCAAAGATCGTATATAGAGGGGTCAAACTTGGCGCTCGTCGTCCTTTTTGCGACAGCAGGCTGTAGTCCTTTCGCACTCATGACGCAGACGTGTCCTGGGAGTGTGGCACAAATGAAGATGATAAGAGGGTGACTGACAGGATTGGGGGATCCAAAGTTGAGACAACCTGCACACAGTCAATGTGGCAAATCAGACCTGATGTTTTTCCGTGTGTGATGGTGACATCACCTCGGGCTCCGTTGGCCACAGAAAAACATCTGCAGCGGTTGTTCCCCTTAACAGTCCCCGACCAACTGGCTGCCAAAAGTCTGTCTCCGCGTAGATGCTCAACCTAGCATATCTCAGGCAGTTAAAGGACAACCGACCCGTCTGGAGAGACCATCGCTCTCCCCCCAGACGTGCTCTTCACCATTTGAGTAGCTTCTAGTTACTGGTAGTAATGCCAGGAGCTACTAGTAGCTTCTAGCTCCTAGTTAGCGATGCCCTTTGTTCCTAGTTACGATGCCCCTGTTATTAGTAGCTTCTTGCTACTAGTGTTCTTCGACTGGGCTCCTGACGCTTGGCATTGGAATCTTTGGCCATCGCGATGATGGCGTCCTTGAGGCCAGGATTCTGCGGCCCTGCGCAGTGCACCACATGACTGGACTGATTTCGCCGATGTTCAGCCAAATCCGAAGGAAAAGGGATGAAAAGGCTGGTTGGCCAGGAGTGAAGTCTCTTAGGCATGGACCCATCTTCCAAATGAAGGCATCCTTGGTCAATAGGCGACTGGCTGGAAACGCTGAGATACGGTCAAATGGACCAGGAGCTCTCATTGCAGCCGTGACTCGAGAAAGTAGTGCGCAAGTTGCGGAAGCATCAGCAGACTTACCATGACCTCAAAATGAGAACCTTTTCGTGCAGAGTTGGAGTTTGAACAAGGGATCAGCAGAAGAATTGAAGTCTTCTGAGCAAGGGACGCTTCTGCTCAAGCCATGCAAGGGTGGAGGTGTGTACATCACAAGGTGGATGTAGTCCTGCAGTGGTGTGTGGGTGTATCCTTGCGATCGTGTCTTCAACTCAAACCCAGTCCTGGTTGATCAGAATATCCCAGGCGAGATCTTCGCTACAGGCCAACAGGCACAGGAAACCTAGGGAGATGCATGGACCGAAAAGAACACTTTCACAATCACACGTCAAGGAATAGTGCGAGTCAAACGACACAAACATTATACAACAGTGCTAATTCGTGCCAAATAGCAGGTGTAGGCCACTGGCGTGGATACTAAGAAGCAGTTCAGGTGATCCTCAGACCATATCAGCGCTGGAAAGCATCATTCAAGTGTTTGATGCCCAATCTTTGTCTTTACTGTGATGCCTTCGCTTCAATGTGATACCAGTTGATCTTCTGTCCGCTAAGCATGACAAAGTCCGGCTTCTTTGGGATTCAAATCGACAATGACGACAATATCACTCCGGTGAAACAGTGACTGTGCGACAAAAGGGACATCAATTACTCCTCCATTCCTTGAGGTGTCTGTATCTCTCCCAACCCTTCTTCGAGCTGCAGTCCAGCGCATGCTCTGTGGAGACTTTGCCATCCAGAGGCTATAGCGCGTTCGAACCACCTGGTCTAGGGACAAATAAGCTTAAGGTAGACTTCTAGTGCGAGAAGATCATGATGATCATGCATTGATAATGCTTCAAATATTTGGTGTCTGCTTGACTATGGATACGAAAGCAACCTCACCATTGCAGTCTTCATAAACTTGGCCGCTCCCTGTGCAAGCGCGGTGGCCTGGTAGACCAACCAACCTCGGAATAGTTCAACATTCAATCGCAAGACCTGGACAACACAATAATAAATATAATACATAGCTATCCTCAGCTAACTTCCTAGCCTTGGCTCACTTCCTAGCGACCATCTTGAGTCTGAAATGATAATTATTGCGTTCTTTGTGTGAACGACTTGGCTTAACCACTCTGGTGCTCCAATCAGCTCCAGGCACTCGAAGAGAAGCCGTGGAAGAGATTGATGAAGGCCAACGAGCGGACGTGGTGGGGGCACATCCCCATGTACCAGGTGAAGTAATGCGCAACCTTACCAAAATATGGTCTCAAAACATGGACCAAGCATTGACTTGTTAAGGCTTGCCTAATTCTACTAGCGATCCAACCATCTCCACGTCATCCATCACCCTGGACTTTCAACATCCTTGGAACAGTTGAGCAGCTATGAGCAGCTGGGTATCTTTGCCAAGCGGCCATGACCCACAGCTTCCCAACGTTCCTTGGCTGAACCATGGCGTCAAAGGACAGCTCACACAGCTGAACCATGGGTGTCTGGTTCTAAACCAAGTCTCAACTTTCCTTGACTCCACCACTTCCAGGCACTGTGCCCAAGCCAAGCTCCTCAGCGACTCAGTTCGCGAAACAAGCAAACAACATGCAAAGTTTGAACTTCCAGGAACATGAAGGGCAGTCTTGAAAGGAGGAACTTTCTTTTTTAGTAGCAAGGACAGGTGGAGGCCATCGCTACTAGAAACAATAAAGCTTTTATAACTTGTTCACGATAATTCATTCAGGACCTGAAGCGTGACAGGAACCTTGGCGCTCCTGGTACCAGCAGGTACAGCAGCCACAGAGGTCTTCTGAAAAGGCTCGGTAGCTCCACCAACCTGGGCCCGGTCCAACTCAAAGTGCTACTATCAATTGCACATGGTTCAAGATATAAGCTCAAAATTGTTGACGTGCAGTACCGTATCATAGTTCATATATATATATATATACATAGTTATATATACATAATTAGATAGGTGATCAAGCTTGAACCAAACCCATCATGTTTGCAGGTCCTGATGGTATCTGACCAAAAGGAATTCGCTCAACCCTCAGCCTGGAGCTGGCAGGAACCCAGTCTAGGCAGGGGCATGAAATGAAGAATCTAGGCATGGGTGTCTAAGTCCGACTTGCAGAGTTGCTGATTCCAGTTCAACACTTGAACTTGCAAACAACTGTTTGGTGAAGCTTAGGCACTTTTCATCCTCACCGCCAAACCAGCTAAAGCCTTCAAATTCTCCGGCATGCCAAAGAAGCAGTGGGAGCCCAGCACCTTTCTCCGCAGATTGAAGGCACCCTAATCAAAAATCGTGTACTGAGTCTCGATGTCAATCATACACGATTCCCAAAAGGTCACTTTTTGCACCGGAGTAACAGAAGCTAGTAGTAACAGGTGCCACGCTAGTAGTAACAGGTGCCTTACTAGTAGTAACAAGAAGCTAGTAGTAACAGGTGGTCAAACACTAGGCCCATGCCGCTATCGCCCCTAGGCCCATGCCTGCCATACACGTCCAATAGTCTAATTGATGAAGAAATGGATCTCTTTCTCCTTGCCGAGCCTGACAATTGAGCATCACTGTCCTTCCCCCTTGGGGAGTGGAAGGGGACTCTGAGCTTAACAGCCATGGCGCCTTGGGAGAGCTGATTGTGAAACGCGTTGACTCTCGACCCCTTTCGATCCCTAGAGCCCACCTCTGTTGAACAAAGCGACATCAAGTGGGTTCAGCGATACAACAGAGCTCCCGAAATAGGAAAGGACGAAAAACGAGTTGCAGTACTATTTTAGAACGAAATTCATTGGAGTGTTGCATATATGGGCCATACGGAGGTCACTTGATTGAGCGTTCAAAGGCAAGACTATGAATCCAGTTGCGATTGCTGACCTGACGAAGGAACGGCATCGCTGATGACCATCTCTCATTGAATGAGCCTTGTAGAGACACAAGAGGCCAAAGGGCTGTTTCGCCTGAGCACCATCAATGCAGCGAAGGAAGCACAACACAATCTTACCCTGTTTGGATCAAACGTTGAACCCCCTAGGTTTCTTTTGCTAGGTTAGTGTACTGTAACTATGCGCAACTTGTGTCACTGGTCTCAGGTTAGTGTTTTCGCATGTTGATGTTTGTCAGGTTGAAAGGCGGTCTTTGTGTCAAGCTGTCGCTGCAAGCAAACAGGCTCAAGCTTTAGTGCGGGGGCCCCGAGGGTTTCTCCGAGTTCTCTTTAGAACGTCCAAAGTGGCTGAAGCGCATGCAAGACATAGGACGGACAACACACACCAGTAACATGTCCAGATGACTCCAGCATTCTTTAGGCGACTCGTTTCAGCTCAAACGGGAGTGAAAGCGAGTGCAAGCGTACAATGGATTTCAACCCAGGTGAGACAGCAATTCTACCGAGTGCAATGGTGTCCATTCTTCCACCGGCGCATCCAATTCTGTCCAGTAGCGAAATGAAACATCGCATAATAGGAGAGCAAGGTCCACCCAACCCAGGTGCCAAAGACCTCACTGAGCGTCTGCTGAAGGAAAGAGCCATGTCCCCCAAAATGAGACTCTATCTGCTGTTGATCATTATGATCATTCATCAAAAATATAAACAGTGCTGGAGCTGTCTGGCAAGCCGAAAACATCCTAAACGTTACCTTCCTCAGAGGGCAGTAAACTGCTCCCCTCAGAACGCACAAGCTCCTGCGTTACATGTCACAGAGTGCAGTGAACTGCCTGACTCGAAATTCGCGTGCCAACCAAACCTACCCACTCAACGTCATTCTGTCGCGGTTCTTTTCACCAAAATGATGTCTCTGAAAAAATGAAACTCGGTGCTTCCAAATCAACCTGTTGCTGTCGCTAGCCTCACCAGTTTGGGTTCCCAACGATGTTGATGAAGCAGCAGGGCAGCAACAAGCCTGAGGAACAGAGTCAACGAATCTCAGCTGCAGCTCCCAACAACTGTCTTCGAAATGGGGATAATTGGACACGCTTGAATGGTTTTTGTGCAAGAAGCTCTGTACGCGTGATGAAGCGCCATAGCAGGACTACTAATGGCACGGAATAAGCACTTGCACAACACGCGGCAAGGAGACACTCCCTGTGGCCACCTGGGACAGCCATGAGGTAGAGCTTCCAGTTCAAAGCTGTCGCCTAGAGACGGGTGAGCACAGCAAACACAAAGTAAAAGCGGCTGCTTTGTAGACACAGCCTCACAGGACCGAATCAAAGGCAAATATCGCCAATTAGCTTCTAATATGTTGCAATGCCTAGCGATGTCAATGTGATTTTTAGGTGTCCATCTTCGAAGCCTCGGAATCCAGCACTGTGCGACAAACCGTTCCTGAGGCATCGCGACTGGAAGGGCAGTAAGCAAGTGTTAGCAAATTGTCCACAGCCGAGTGCTTACATGTTACAGTACCTTCTTCCAAGTGTCTGGCAAGAGCCAAACGAAACTGTCCACTGCTGTCAAAAAATATCGCAGCTAAAACCGACAACAGCAGTCTTCCGAGTTGAGGGCATGATTTAGCCAAGCTTCCATACACATGCGCCACATCCTTTGCAGAAGCTGGGAAGCAGTTCCAAAATGCAGCATCAAAAGGTATTATCTTTCGTACCACGCCATTAAATCCAAGCTGCCACCAGAACTTCGAGGAAAAGCTTTGCCAAAAGAGGTTGCTCCTCATTCTTGATGGACGATGTCAGTGGCACCTAGCAGCTTTTTGCTGCGCTGGCGAACTTCCACCGGGCCACTCTGCATTAGGCCCAGAACTTCTGAGGATCCGCACCAACACCAAGGCGAGAAGCACTGGGAGTACCATCCCGAAGCCATCGCTCCAAGTGGAAGACACCGGGGTCCACATCGAGACGCTCTCTATTGGGCACCCAGGAAGTTAGACTGCCACCCGAAACAACCTGGGGACGTCTTCCTTAAATTGTGAAGAAGTCTTCTTTTCAACAAACGCACTTCAGGATCACCTTGATATTGAATTCTTACAGGTTTGAGATGCATCAAGCTGGTTGTCCATCCTGTCCTCAAGGTTGCCTGCTTGATCTTTGCACAGGTTCTGGTGCGTTTACTTTACCCTGGCTTGCTATTTGAAGATTGCTTGACCAAGATGATGCAGGACTGCAAACCAAATCGAATTGAGGCCAGTGGACACAAGCAGCACCAAGGCAAGCGGTGTGGGTCACTTGGAAAATGCTTGTCGAAAGACTTGAGCTCCACGCACGAAGCTGGCCCAGAGATCCGACCGTGGGCGCCTGGCAAGCGACAACGAAGTTACTGCTTGAGCAGTGGAAGAAGCGTGCTTGACGCTGGTTCGTTGCTTGCTGCTGCTGTCCTGCTGGTGGCATCCTGTTTGTTGCTGCTTCGGTCCATATTCCTCTTCTATCTGTATCATTGATAGGTTAGGTTGTGAGGTCTATTGCGGTGTTTCCTTTGATGTGACAAAACAACAGTTTGAACCAACAAGGATGAGTCAATATTGTGAGAAAAAATCTGGAGGGATACCAATGCTGTGATGAGTTTATGGCCAAAACCACATTGAAATCATCGGAAAACGGCATCCAAGCGCCATCCAAAACAAGAAAGGCAAGACAAAACGCACAAGTGTGGCACCTGAAGAAACCGCAGCACTGTCATGAGCATTCCTCTGGGGCTTCGTGGATTCCGAAGCTCCTCCTGAGGTCAACAGGGCATGTCTGACTGAAGTTCAACATCGCGTTCTTGCTACTAGTAACGATGCCCTTTGTTACTAGTAGCCTAGCGTTCTTGTTACTAGTAGTAAGGCCAGGAGCTACTAATAGCGTTCTTGCTACTATACATTAATTACATGCTGTGTGGAAGACTTCCTCTTGGGGTCTGATGGGTGTTAAACAACGAGTCACTAGTCACTGGTCCTGCCTGGCAGTGATGAGTTCCTTGAGTCCAGACTTAGATATCATGCATGTCTAAGTCTTTGTCCTACAGACTGGCAGGCTGAACAGTTCGAGGCAAAAACAAGCGCGCAAAGCAATAATATAAGAAACTTCCAAGAAACAAAGAATAGGAACTGCAATTAAAAAAGAAAATATATAAATATAAAAGATAAAACTATCACCAGGACTCACTGCCCCTCACTGACCCCAACTCACCCCAGCTCCATCACCGAGAGTAACTTCTCCAGTTGATTCATGCGCTCTTTGACGCCTTCACTGGACAACAACTCAGATCCTCGGACGCATTTGGAGCCCATCGGAGTGCTCGGGTGGAGGCCAGACGCATCGTTAAAGAAGTACCGTTGGTTCCGTGACGCACTGGACCGGATCATCGAATCAGTTCGCAGGGACGGTGAAGGAGCACCTGTGGTCCAAAGCTACTCGAGCTTCGCGAGGCTTTGTACACATGGTGTTAAACTAAACTGTTGCGTGGAGCCTGTAATTACTCCTGACTCGTTTGTCTGGAACAGATGTTCTAAGTCAAATTTTCTCCTCAAACAAGTGGATTTGGACTCATTACTTGGGGTCTTCACCTTCAGGCTGATTGGACGACAGGCTCCTACCAAAATGAACGATCAACAATTCGTCTGCCGTCTGCGCCACAAAACAAACAACACGTCTGAGCATGCGTCTGCAGTGTCAAATGTTCAGAACCGAAAAAGACACCCCTTTTCTCTTTAGCAAAGATCGAGCTCGCTCGTGGTTTGGGCTTCCCAGACTTCCAAGCACCTCGCTCTGAGACCTGAACGAAAGATGCGATAACAGGGTGAGGCTGCAGCCCAAATCCTAAAATTCTATAAAACTTCTAGCTACTAGTAGCGATGCCCTTGTTCCTAGTAGCGACACCTCAAAACCTCAGGCCTTACAAGCTTTTGCTCAGGGCAATCCTCGAGCATTCAAAAGTGTTCTTCGACAAGGTTCTCTTTTCAATACCCGCCAGCACAATCTCAAAGCAAGGCATCTTGGGACCCCAGCATCCTGAAGCGAGCAGACTCCTGCCTAGGTGAGCATGAGAGCAACAAGTCTTGGTTCCTGAATGGTAGCACGTGGTAGAATCTAGGGACACCTAGAGTCGCTCGAAAGACTCTCTCTTTGGAAGCCGTTTTGTGTCACTCCAGGCCTCACTGATGCAAACCATTCTCTCAATGGAAGAATCAAGGGAGCTCCTGTCACAGGATTGTCATGAGAAAAATCCCTGAAGAGGATCTGTATGCCTTGCCCAGTACACAGCATCTATCGCTTCCCAACGAGCGTCCTTGAACTCGAACTAGTCGAACCTGTCCATGGAGTGATGGGAGGCATGGGAGGCGCATATGCAATTCAGCCAACTCGCTGGCCTGAAGGGTTGGAAGCCAACGTTCCAAGTCCTGCAGCCACAAAGGAGTCACTCAGTCAAAGCTGCTCAGTCAAGGGTGGTCAAGGAGGCGAGGTCAACAAAAGACTGAAGAGCTTAGTGATGGACAAATCCTCTTGAGAGATACACAAGCCCTGAAAATCCAATACCCATGGAGATACCACATTACATTATATAATTGAATGTGTGTATATATAAATATATAGGTCCTGCAGGATGTTTGTCCATCAAGAGTCAAGAGTGTCCAAGTAAAAACTCGTGCGTTCAACACTTGGCTCCTCTGCAGCTCGAAGCACCTGCAGCTTGGGGTGGACCGATGGTACGATGTCGGGGTGAAGTGGCACCGTGCCTTTTCGTTCTTTTAGAATTGGCCGACTTAGTTCATTTTACTCCGAAGTCAAGAACTTCCGAGTCCCACAGCAATCCCAACCCCACCTGACGTTGCTGCGCACTCAGACGCACCTGCGGGAACAAGCAGGTCCGGATTTCCCACAAATCCAAAGGGGATGTTCCATGTTCCCCTGGGCTTCCCCTGCAGCCTCCCTTCCTTCTGAACCCGACAAAGTTTGGTACTTTTCCCAAACGCGCCAAAGTGGCTGAATCTTTTGGATTCCTCGCAAGTTTCAGTTCTTAGAAAACGACTTTTGGAATCTTTTGGAAGTATCAGTTACCATCAATGTTCCCATGAACCACAGGGTGGCTTGGGGAGCGGCCCAGGAAAAGGATGCATGAAACCTCGCAATACGTGTCGGGAATAAGTTACAACCGTACCCAAACATGCTTGTCATCCACTTTAATTGGATTGGCCACCTGAATTCGGATGACAACCAAGCACTGGATTGTGTGTGGTAGCTTGAGCAAAGATCGGCTCGGCCGCTCCTCATGCTGCTCCTGCGTCCGCAGGGAGTTCGCCAGGGATGCGATCGCAGAACACGACTTCTCCTCGGTGATAGAATCATCTGGTATCAACACTCGACACCTGAAGCCTGAAGCTCCGCCGGGTTCAAGGTGTGGACATCAATGTGTATTCAACTCATCATAACTCATAACTGTCATAACTCATCCAATTCGATCACCAAAACATGTCAGTACCCGGCCAAGAGCCCACGCTAAACCTTCAAGGGTCACGCCCTTCATGGAGCTCTCAGAGAGGCGAGAGGCCTCAGATTCGACGGAGTCTGCCCGTGGCCTTCGACTTGAAGGGGAGCTCCGTTCGGAGCCAGGAGCCCCGATCGTAGCGTCCGAACGCTCCTGGTAGTAGTAAGGCCAGTCTTGAAGAAGCGCTCAGATTTTTAGGAAAACTTACTTCGACGTTGTCGCTTCGTCCCCCGACGTGACGGAGGAAATGCCAAAGATGTCTCACGTAAAGGATATAGTGTCGCGCCACCTCCACCCTGGCCGGTACAATCTCCGTGGGAAGCGGAGGACCTATCTGTGCATCTCTGCGCCATCTCAAAAAAACAAAAACACAGCATGCAACGCAAAAACTCGGTAGCTTTACACCTCTGATTGGTGCTAAAGCATCTCTTAGAGACTCCTCTTTGCTCCGACAATTCCTTCTCCCAATGGTGCCCACCTGTAGTTGGCCTCCGTGCTCCGCTGGAAGATCTTCAAGGATCCAGGGAACATCAGCGCCTGAGCGTGACCCACCCAGGCCCTGGCGCCCTACAGGTAGTTCACCCACCCTGGCGTCCAATGATGCCGATGTCCAATGATGTCGATGCTTGACTCCTCTTGGAGAGTGGTCAGTCAATCTTCAGCGGTCAACCCTGTTCGCAACGGAATTCTGTGTGTGCGGGATTGTGTGTGTGTTTTTGTGTCTCTCTCACTCTCTCTCTCTCTCTCCCATTGAGAACTGAGGAACTCTGAGAACATCCAAGGGCTGTGCTCGCGCAACCAGACGCGCAAAGAGCCAAAACAGGATCAAGTCGACGGTCTCAGAAACAAGGGCGTGGATTCCTCTATTTTTTGGCTCCCTTCTGCATCCTTTCGGAGACGCTGGCTCAGGTTCGTTGTGATGTCAAAGAAGGTTTCTCTATCTTAGAGAAATCTTGAATTACCTTGCCAAGCTCTTGACATTCTCACCTATACAACCCACATTCTGGGTCTCCCGAGCCACTGCACCTTTCGCGCCCATCACTCGAGCCACGCAAGTGCTGAACAGCACCAAGATCCTCAAACGTGGCGCAGGGTTTGGAGATGTTTGGAGTAATATGCGGCGTGCCCTTCGGATCTTGCTTCAGACATTTCGAGGACCAATGCCACCGACACGCACCTTACACTGCGTGGAATGTTAACTTGTCATCTGGTTGCCAGACTAGCCCCCAGTTGCAAGCACCCCGGCAGAATCACCAGCGCAATGACGAGGACCACCACCAAGCAAATGGTCGGTGCATCCTCAGAGAGGAGACGTGTTTTCCAGCAAAATCCAGGACCCTGCACCGGTACCAGAGCAAGCTTGGACAGCATGTGTATCTTGCCTAACTTCATATCAAACCAAACACCTTGATCCTCACTCAATGTCTCCAAACGTGCCACCTCTGGGCCCGACCTTGTAGACCCGCCCAATGGCCTCACAGGCACAACCACCCTTTTGTGTCTCCAAGTGCATCAAAGACCGACAGACCGACATGAGTGTCACTGCGTCGTCTTGGCCTTCGAAACTTGCCAATAGAGCTCCTCAAACATACACAGATCCCCCGGCTCGCCCGGCTCGCCGACCAATTTCGGTGTCACCATTCGTCCCAAACCCGGCCTTGCAGGTCCTCGAGAGCACCTCACAAATCCTCAGGATTTCATGGACATTGACAGTTGACTGGTGGCAACTCTGGTGACAAGGTGGCAACTCGAAGGGCTTGTTGTCCTTGCAAGTTCATCTGACTATCTGTCCAAATGGTTTTATGGCTTTCATGGTCTACGTGACTTTCTTCCACTCTTCCATTCTGGGGAATGCAGGGGAGCTAAGGGCCCCTTAGCTCCCTGAGCACTCTAAGTTGCTGGAAAGAAGAAACAATGTTAGACGTAGACCAAACCACACATCTCACTGACGATGCCCACCTGGAGCATCGTGACCAGGCCATTCCATTCGACCGTGACAGTCTTGAGTTTCTGGGTTTCTTCTTTCAAGAGCCTGTTTAATGCTTGTCAAACCGACAGAGAAGCAAACCTCATTCCATTGAATTCCATGTCTTGCCCGCAAAAGACACTTCGGGGTGCAAAAGGAGATTGCATGATGTCACTTTCAAAGGGCAAGGTCGTTCTTGGTGCCGTGTGGCGGAAGAAAAGAACGGACTTTCTTCCATCTCGTACAGGGAGTCAAACTGACAAACCAAAATTCCTTTCATCCTGGAAGCTACTCTTAACTCTTACTTCTCGCAACTTTTCAGAGTTTGCTCTGTGAAGGGATTGTTTCGTGTTGAATGGGTTTCGAATCATGAGGTTTGGCGGATGGCCTCAGCACATCCTTGCATGCAAATGTCTTCCACATGTAACTGCGAGCCAAAACGTCAAACGGGATGCGCGTTGAACGCCTGCCTCGAACACAAGACAACAAGTAGAGCGTCATAAGGTCCGACACAAGACGTAGATGTCAGAAGGTCCAACATGTTCCTGAACAGTGAAGGACGAGTGAGGGACGCCGCTGTTCAAACGGCAAAGGGCCACGGTCAGTGTAGTCAGTTGGCAAATCCTTTTCTCACACTCATCCACCAAGAAAGGGCACAAATCTCAGATCTCGGGCACAATCTCATGTGGTGATTCCCTGGAGAGCAAAAGTGACAGTTTCTTCAACTATGGTCAGAGCCGTAAACACATTCTTATGTTCGCTACTAGGGGCTCCTGGCATCGCTACTAGGAGCAAGGACGCTACTAGGGGCTCCTGGCCTTACTACTAGGAACAAGAAGGCTACTAGGAGCAAAGGGCATCGCTACTAGGAGCAAGGACGCTACTAGGGACGCTACTAAGGATGCTGTGCTATGTGATGACCATGCCGCCTTCGTTCACGCTGCAAGTGGCACAGCCCATGGCATAGAAGTAGTTCTTGACAGCACTGTTTGGTCAAAGGTCCCAGTCATCTGACCTGCTTCAGTGAGGGCCGAGTATGGGAAGAGTATGTATGTATATTAATATATAATGTGTAACATGAAATATAATATATATATACATATATATATATATATTTGTTTTTCTCTTACAACTATAATTGTTGAAAAGCATTTATCTATTTACTTGAACAAAGGGTGTGAAACCCTTGGGCATCCAAGACTATTCGTGTTGCAAACAACAAACATATGCAACATTCACAACTTAAGGCACCCCAAGGCCCACGTGTTTTCTGACCCTGGCACCTGTTGGTCGTCTCATGGCTCATTCACGAAAACATCAACAAACTAGGTGCGACAACCAGCTTTTGCTCATTTGTTTACATGCAAAAAATGCACTGAGGACAACCAACACCTACACCTTCGTTTTCTTGATTCCGGTCTCTGTGCCTGGGTTTTTGGGGAGCCTCCTTTGAAGCCAGTGCCAATCCCAATTAGCAAACAAGAAGGTCATGCAGTGCATGGCAGAATTAAGCTAACAGATTCTTTCGCACACGTTCATCTTCAAGTCTCGCTACCATGGCTTGCAAGTTGGCCAGGTGGAACCTTGTGGGGTGGAACCTCATACACATCCACCAATGGTTGAGGGACTGCAATCGTTCTGATGTTTTTTCCATGTCCGTAACGAGGAAGAAAGTCACTATAAAAGGTGGGAAGTGTATCACTCTGCACTGGCGCTGACTTGAAGGCTATTACCAGTAAACCCTGTTTGGAAAGTTGTCCGTTGCACCTGTTTGGCTCGTTTGGCTTCATTCGGGGAAGGTCCGCCCAAAAATATGGCTCTGGAAAAAAAGAGAGGAAGTGGCCCGCGTGAAACACCGATCGCCCTGGGGGTCCATCGGGAAGGCTTGGGACCATCAGGCACACCCATGGCACACCTGAGGCTGGCCTCTTCGAACTTCGCCTGAAAGGAAAGGACATGAATGCAACATGAATGAAACATCGGAAAGATTGGGCTCGTGCCTGGACTTCCCATGGTGGAGAGGTGTCGAAGCGCCAACGACACAGTCTGCTGGGTGGCAAGCCAATTCCACTTGAGATCGGCGGAAAGATAACAATGCTTAAAAGTTTGGTTGGAGGCCATCACTCTTAGGTTCTTAGGTTGGAGGCCATCGCTCTTAGGGGGAGGCGCCATCGCTAGTAGATCACGGCCTCTTTTGAAGAGAATGTACCTTTCGAGCCTGGAAACCATGGAAGACAGGGCTGTCATGTATCAACGTGCCGTCTTTCACCCCTCCAAGTCTGAAAGGAATCGCACGCTGGCAGAGCACTGTTCCTCCTGTCAAAGAGAAGACTTGGGAAGCTTCACGCAAAAGCCTTCTCTGTATGGACGCAATCACAGTTCAACCAGGTTAGGCTGCCAAGTGGATACAGCCGCCGTGAAGCAACTACAGTCTTAGTGATGGCATGGAAGCCATTCCAGGCAACTCAGCCTGAAGGAGATCTCAAAATAGCCAAGCAACTGCTCACTGTGCAGGTGGTGCTACCAAAAGCACTGAAAGACAAAGTGGAACTGAACAAAAGCCATTTGAGCCTGCCAGTCTACAGCTTCGCATGGAAGCTTCAGCTGCCGTGAGGGGAAACTCTGCCCAGCTCCGGTCGATGTGTTCCCAAGAGGCAAGGTACAGTAGACAGTTTGGGTTGGAAGGTCTAGCCATGTGATGCATTGCTGCCACAAAAACCATGGACAATCTTTGCGGCAAATTTCTGGCGTTCCGCACCAACTTGAGGCTCTGCTTCCAGAAACATGAATTTAAAGCCCAATCCATTGTCTTGATATGCCTAAAGCGGTGTATCATCAACCAGGAATTTGTTGACTGCCACCAGTCCATCCACGTTCGCTACCTTCCTATGAAAATAAATGGGGCGGTGACTGTCATGCATGTGTCAACTATTGTTAAATTTCATCTCGGGCAGAAGCCTCACATCATTCGCTCTTCGTGAGGTAGATCTGGATCTTCCTTCACTCCCTGCCAACTGGGCCCAGTCTCCCACAATAATGGAGTGGGCCAGGGAGAAAGCTAAGTGTATGATGTGGCAGGCAGTGCTAAACCGAAATCCTGCAATGCCCATAGCAAAGGCAGTGGACAGCATTCACCACTAGCATGTGCGCAAAAACCAAGGTCTATGGCATGTTATGTTCCTTTTTCTACCTTGTTCTTCACCCGACAGGATCTTGGCTTCGCTCAAGTGAGAGCCTAAGAAGATTGGCAAATGAAGAAGCTGGCGACGTTTGAGGGTAGAATATGGTGCAGCTTTATTTGGGTGAGTTTGCCCCACTCTGCTGTGTTTTTCGCCCAAGTCAAATAGCGCGTGATAGATGGAAAAGACTGAGTCGGCATAGCATTAAACTGTAAGGCGTGGAGAATGTTAGTGTCCTTGCCACCACTGGTCCGAGGCGCGCAAGCATAGGGGTGGGCAAGCTAAGGTTGCTAATATGACAAAGACAAAGTCATACTCTGCCCAAGCCTAGCAGCGCCTAGCACCTCGAACACCTTGCAGCATGCCGGGTGCGCTTGAGGACTTCTTCAGACCGCAAAGCAAAGCTTGGATGCTTGAAATCAGAGAGACTCTGAGCACTCAACGGCCTCCTACAACTAGATCAACAAGAATTCTGGGGAGCTGTGGAAGTGCCGCCTCAAGCCAGCCAAGTGTAGTCAACGAGAACGTGTTGCGCAGCTCTTTCTTCAGCAACTTGCTGTGTGACAACTGTCTCGATTTGATGACGGCCCAGTATCAATGAGTATATCGGTTGGAAGACCCGAAAGAAACAACCAATGAATCAAGCGCAATCGGAACCCTTCTGGTGAAGGCGACTGGAAATGATCCGGAAACCTCGTCGAAAGCGTCACCTCGCTTTCGACGATCTTCGGCCGGCGTGGGCAAGCTGGCTGAGAACAGCCCTGCCTGCCCCCCCACAGCCCCCCTCTGCATGCCAAATTAGTGCCAAATTAGTGAGAGCATGTGAGAGCCTTGGTGTACCCAAGAGAGTGCCCACTTAGGGTCCTGGACCAACCAGCTCGCTTGATTTTGACCTCACGAAAAAGCCCAGATCAGATCTTCATTTCAGCCGTGTTTTTGTTAAAGGTAAAGTGCCTATACACTGCTGGGTCGCCTACGCTGCGCGGTTCGCAGGCATGGAGTTGAAAAGGGCGGGGAAATCGTAGGGTGTTGACATTCACATGTCCCTTTCGTCCGCTTCGCCGAGGGCCGAGCACTGGTTCTTGATCGCCGGGTAGGCACAAATGGAGAAGTGGTGTCTGACGTTGTTGAATGACAAGAAGTCTGAATCACCAAAGAAGCTTTGCCACCCCTGAAAGCAAGATCAGCCTCATGAGAATCCCGGCAAAAGACGACTCCTAAAGGACTGTCTAATTGTTTGACGGTCACGACATCTCTCTTTCGAGACGGATCCGTTCAGGAACCGGCGCTTGCACCAAACACAAACTCGCTGGGGCTTCAGCAGCGGTCGAACTTCACTCGACAAACACCAGAGCGTCTCGGGCCGACTGCGTTGAGTTCGGACAAGCTTTCCTAGACTTTCTGGCCACACTTGTGTCTGCCAGGCGAACTTCAAAGCGTTGTGAGTAAGAGGCCATGAAGAAAGTTTGTCATCAAGTTAGCGCGGGAAAGCTGCTGTGCATTCTGGTCAGAAATGCCTGTTTTGCGCAAAAAACAAGGGCAGCGTCTCATGTGCTGAGATCTGCCAGTGGCGTTAAGTAACAGTTTGTGCTGGACCCAAGAACATATCCACGCTGCCGTACCCCAACCTAAACCAATTCGACTCATGTCCTCCAAGCTCCTTCCATTCCAAGCACGTGCGCGGGAACAAATATGTGTGGCTTAAACATTTGACAAAGGCACTGCTGTCTGTCATAGTGTCAGAGAGTTGGACATGGGAATCAAATGACCAAGCAGTCACTGCAATAGTTCTATCTCCATGAAGGAACACCGGTGACTGCCTGAAAAAGCGTTCAGGACATGGGTCTGCCCTGGCAACAAACATGCGCGCCAAAGATAAAGGCTCATGTCTTTGGGAGGCACCTGTGCAGTGCTCAGCCCCCCCCCAAAGAGGTTATATATAGGCACCTCGTCTCAGTCGAGGCTAAAAGCTCGAAGGGAGAAAGCACTCTTGGATTAAGTCAATGCGAAGCTGTCATCAGAAATCAAGTACTCGGAGAGCTGCCCGAGCAAAGTGGTTGCAAGCAGTAGTCTGACCAAGACCTCGTTCCTGAATCAACACCCTGCAGCTTTACGTTTAAGCTTGGTCTAAATGAGCGCTTGGGGTGTTGCGGCAAATAATACGACAAATACATGAACGCAATTACGGCAGCTTTGCCTCTGGCTTTGGCCGTGTTTAGCCTAGGCTAACCTACAAATCTAGAGTGAGATACCTAAATATCCAAGATTATCCAAGCATTGCTTCCTCAAACAGAAAGTCTGAGCATTGGGCCTGGAGGGAGACAAATTCAGCTTCCTTTAGAAAACACATTTGAGTTGTGCATCACGGCATCAAAAAGACTGTAGTGCAATTGTGGGAACCTTGTGACCAAATCTGCACCTGTGATACCGTTACCGGCAGTGCTGGGAAAACAAAAGGCTTCGTGCCAGCCAAATCGTGCACAAAACAAAGCAAAGGTGATTTTCACAATGAGGAACTGCCAGAGCTGGTTTGGACATGGGCTTTCCTCTACGGGGGTACTCTATCACTTTTTGTACATGTTATGCAATTTTGAAAATTTTGTGGAGTGTACTTTGCATCTCGAACCAAAAACAGCATTGTGATTGTCAACACCCTGCTGCACAGCGCAAGTCTAAGCCGATGCCATGACTGATGCGAGAAACGAATCACGCAAGCCCATTTGAATCAGGTTGGCTGTCAGGCCGGAGCCACCAGGAGCAGTGGCAAAGCACTGCCCGAACTAAAACGCAGGTCAAGCCCATTCGATGTAGCCGTAAGAAGATTCGGATTGTTCTATTGACTGCATAGGCAATGGTGCTGTACTAGCAAACGCTGCTGATTCAGATCATCATTTGAAGCTTCAGAAAGCAACCTTTGCCAACAGCTAAGCTGAGTCTACTCAGAACTGCTTGGACAAATGCTTGCAGTAGGTTTCACGCCTACTGGCTACACCAGGCCATCGGGATGAATTCAATTTGGGGTCAATCAGAAACACATTTGCGTTTGAGGTACAAAGTCACTGCAGCTGTCTTGTTGTTTAACACCCAGGCTACAGTCACATCCAATATGCTGTGGCTCAAGAACTGCGCTTTTCAAACAACCGGCGCTTGACGCGATCTTCTTGACTTGCACAGGCGACTCGGATCTGCAAAGGGTTTATGAGGCACCTCGTCTCAGTCGAGGCCAAAAGCTCGAAGGGAGAAAGCACTCTTGGATGGAAAGAGATTGCGAAGCTGTCATCAGAAATCAAGTACTCGGAGAGCTGCCCGAGCAAAGTGGTTGCAAGTAGTCTGACCAAGACCTCACCCGCACTGGACCGGTACATTTTTCAACAAAGCTGAACACCAGAACTTTCTACAGTCTTTCCACATACAACGGACACCTGCACCAACAATGAAAGGGCGAGCAAAGCAGCTTTGAGCAGCTTTGTCCTTTGTCCTTGCCCAAACACAAGCCATGACACTGAACAAAAAGAGCACTGGCTCTTACAAGGAAATGTCACAGTAGCAGCAGCAGCTTTGTTGCATGCAAACACTGGTCATGCTGCTGTGTGCTGGGCTAAGCATGATGTTGAAAATGTCAATCTTGGCGTCAAACATAACTCACATCTGCTTCTGCTCCAAAGCACTGACTTCTGAGTCTTGATGTCCTGGAGACACCAAGAAAAGCAAAAGAAAGGCAAGGCCGTCGAAGATCCGGCTCGTTTGCATGAGCAAACTACCAAAAGGAGTTCTGGGCATTCTCACAGTCCCAAACCATGAACTACAATATCATCATGCAATGATTTGCAGAGCACTGGCGCTTTTCCCCCGTGGATGTGGCAGGGATCTTCCGATGAAGACCGTCAAGGTCCCTTGTCGTTGACCTACAGGTGGGCGTCTGAGCGAGTGAACACGGGTGTCGCATCGGTGTGCACCACCTCGCTTCGTTCTGCGTTTTCCGAAGGCAAAGCGGTCCGAACGCCAAACTAAGTGGTCCGTTGAGTCACCACTTCTGTGCTTTTCTCAAATAGATGGACACGCACCAGGTAGCCGTTGCACTCCTACTAAACACACGGGTTTGATGTAAACACTGCGAGCACACTGGATGTCTCAGGTCAATCTTGGCTGACAAAAAATGAGAGCAATTCAGTGAGGTCCAAAGCGTCAAAGAAGGGAAGCAAGGTCCAAAGCGCAAATGGATCTTCTCTCACAAAAGTTGAGAAAGCAGTCAATCCAGAGTCGACTACATTAACACCCCTAGAAAGTCTTGTCGTACGACAAGTGGACGACAATCCAGTTTACAACCAGGGAAGTCAAAAGAAACGTTGCATGATGTACGTCCCAGCGTAGCAAATGGAAGAGTGGCGGCCAAGCATTGCATTGGTTGTGTTAACTCTGAATGCGGCAAACATCTTGATCTGCACCACAATGCAGACTTGGAGTTCAGAGTCTCCTTTGTGACGTTCCCTCCGCTGCAAAGGACGAGAATGCATGCAACTCGGACAACACAGGGAAGCCCCCCATGATACACACGCCCGCCAACTCGCAGCACTGCGATCTCTGAATCTTTGTCTTCATTGCATCATGGCTCCGGCCTTCTGCTTGGTGTCCCTAAATGTTGTCCAAAATGCACTTGTCCTAAAACCACTCTTGTTTTAGAGCACCTACTATCAATCAAACACATCGTGCTACTAAATTATGAGGACGACTCCCATGTAGCACTCTTTGCCTCAAATGCATCAGTCCATCGCGGTCTCGGTGGAGAGAGGAGCGATCGCGAGTTCGAAGAGGAAAAGCACGGGGTTCTGCAAAGCAAACCCCAAGTATTCACAGTCAATCCGGAATCACCTATACAAATCAATGGGCTAGAAGTGCAAGGCCACGGCACCTGGGCCTGGTATTGATACAATTCCAGCACGTGATTGTCTACACGAACGGTCAAATTTTGTTGTGGAGTTGCAGGTCATCGTCTTTAACGTCTTTAACGTCATTTGGTGAGTGTAATATCGTCTTTAACGTCCGTCACGGCCGTCACGTTTTGGTGAGCGTCCGTCATGTATGATTCGTGCAACACGAGCAAGACGTGCATGTTGAACTCCGACGACTCACTGACTATTCGTCACTTTTGCTAATTTTGAGCCTAGCTCACATCTTGGCATCCACCGCCCAAAGACTTGAAGCACTTCTTCTTTGAGGGATGTACGAATACAAAGAGACCAGCAGTACGCAAACAAGAAAAGACTTTTTTAAATCGCTTGTGCATTGTGGACAACCTGTTAGGTGGCTTTTCCTTCAGCGCCTTCCTGCGACGGTGGTATGCAGGTGATGAAGCATAGTCAGAATTTGTCGAAAGGGTGGCTTCGAGAGGATTTGCGCAACACCAGAGGCTTCGCGAATTGGTTTCGCATATTGGTTTTGCAACCTTTCATACACTCTAAGTTGGCCTTCGCGAATTGGCTTCGCCTGTGTGAAATCTAAGAGCCTACGCCAGAGGCTTCGCGAGCCTTCGCCACAAATCATGTATCACACAAATGCCTTTGGAAACATTTGGTGAGTTGCAGTCTAGTCCAAATGGCGTCATTCAATAAAGAACGCTACTCACGAAAGGGTGGTGGCAAGGACAAAGGCAAACAAGACAAGGGGGTGAAGGGCAACCCCAAGGACAGCGGCAAAGGCAAGAAGGGCAAGTCCAAGTCGTGGCCGGATGCTTGGGCCTTCAAGGACCCAAAGGGCAAGTCCTTCCCAGTGAAACGATTCCCAAGGAAGCCTCTAGTTAGAAAGCTTTATTGCTACTAGTAGCAATGGCCTCCACCTAGTAGCTTCTAGTTACTAGAAAGCTTCTAGTTAGGCAAGTCCTTTTGGGACTACCATCTTCACGGGACATGCCGCAGCTGTGGCCGCTCACACAACTGCCCTGTTCGCCAAGGGACTGGGTGTACAACACCATGCCGGTCCAGGTGCCTCAGGCCCTACTCCGCCTGTATGCACTCTGGCGAATCAAGAACTTTTCCGCCCAAAGGCCCTGTGAGCGTGTCTTCCAACGAACATGCAATGTAAAGAGCGTTGTTCTGCAGCTTTTCGCTCTCCCGAAGCCTCCCTGGGAGGCAGCTTGCTCAGCTTGCGATAGCAACACTCCATGTTCTCACCTTCAAGACCTCTGTGTAAGGCATGGGCCGTCGTTCAACGAGCAGGCTCACAAGAAGTAGGGCATTAGTGCTTTCGCCATCCATTTGACACCGCACCCAAACCCGATCTGGTGTGTTCGCGCATTGTTGCACTGCAGCACTGGGGCAAGTGGTCACAAGACGTTTCGATTCCCATAGAAATCTGTTTGAACCTTGATTTTCTTTTGGTCCAGATGAAGTAGCTTTCCGGAAATGTGCATGTCATGACTGCCCGTATCCAATCACATCTGCTGCCTGCAAGGCTTTTGACGGAACAATTGTTGATAGCAAGACTTCTTGTGACCTGTATCAGGTATGTGGGGTTGCACGAAACCTTCCAGAAAAGGCTGCACGTCCTCTGGTTTGTGGCCACAGGTCACTTCAAGATCTGTTTGTCTAGTGGTAGCTAGAAAGAAAAATGTTGGGAATTAGTTGGACCTGCAAGGAGACCTTGCTTTCCAACAGGTCTACCAAGGGTTTCTCTCCTCGAGGACATGGTTGTCCTCAATGTCTATCCGTTCGTCACATGCGAGCTTTTGCGAAACCACATGGGAGATCAAGCAAAGATTTGCAGATCAAAAATCAACGTCCTCTCATTGGCCCGTCGAGGAGGCTCCCGACAGCAGCTTTCGCCGGGCTCCCCATTTGCCCCATGCGATCTTGAAGCTGGCTCCCCGAACATGCACCGCTGTTTTGCAAGATGCTTGTGTAAGAAGGATTAAGAAGGTATAGTATATACAATAGTCAATGTTCTTGGATGTGTCGAAAAATGGAAGATGCAACAACACTTTCACATGTTTGCTGCGCTTTCGTGAGTTACAAGCCTTGCTGGAAGACATTCGGAAGTTGTAAGCTGCAAGCCAAAGCTTGTGCCGCACGACAAAACATCTACATACAAGCCTGGTGGCACAACTTGCAAAGCAAACCCAACCTAGAAACTCTCTGCGGCACCTGAAGACGCCCTCTTCACCAAAAGTGTCCAGAGTCCAGAGGTTCGCGTTACAATGGCTTTGCCCTCGCTCATGGTCGGGCACATTAAAGACTCATGGTCGGTACTCAACTCACAGAGAGTCCTTTCTCCTTGCGCAGTGTGACTCTCCGACCCTCGGCTGATTCGCCACTCGGCGAAAGCAATCCTAGCCGCTAGCCCCTCAGCACACGCAATTGCAAGTGACAGGATGTCCCTGCAGGTCTCAATGCGGCCATTTGAGGTACTTAGACTTTAGACTAGTAGCTTCTTGTTACTACTAGTAAGGCACTTGTTACTAGTAGCGTGGCACTTGTTACTAGTAGCTTCTTGTTACTACTAGTAAGGCTAATATACTTATATAGCCAATTGGTTTGGGCTCCAATGCGGCTCCCGGCAAAAGCTTTCTTCCACATGCTCTAGCAAGGAAGGACACACTACGGGCATGTGTTTATGTTTCGCAGAGTTGCAAAAACTATTCAAATAACAAATGCAATCAATCCAACTCTTTCTCTGATTCCACTGCCTCCGTTGCCTTGCCTTCCTGTAGGAAACTTGGTGCTTCCTGACAATGACAAGGGCTAGTGGATCAACTATGTGGACACCAGCCACACGGCCACGCCACTGATCCCCTCATGAAGCCATGGTCAAAGATTGAAGATGCAGGCCGGATGAAGTTTTGTCTTCACAAATTGAGTGCCTGGCCTTCTTAATACCTGGCACAACGTATCAGGGCAAGCAGCACTAAATCAACCACTTGAAAGACTCGCGACCAACCTCTGGGTTTGTCGGATCTAGAACTTGATGCAAACAAAAATTCCCGTCACTCCTACCATCCTGTCATTGCTCATGTGAGAATCCTCTTTGTCACCAGCCTTGCCTTCAAGTCCTGGACATTTCTGAGGGCGTGTCATAACCTTCCCAAGCATTGCCAGGGTCACCCAACTCTTCTAATGGCAGAGGGCCAAAGACTTCCACTGGTGCCTGTGCAGATCCAAGCACTGGAGAGGGGGATGTTTCTTGACCATCCCAACAGCCAAAGCCAGCTCCCATCAGAACAAGATCTGTCCAGTCCTCCTATACAAAGAATGCCAATTGGTCTTACTTGAGCATGTGGGCCAAAGAACTATAGGTCTTTCCACGCTACTAGTAGCGGGCCTTTTGATGACCTAGGTGTTGCAGCCAACTTTTGATAAAAGGACTCAAGGCTCAAGGACGGCAGCAAAGCAGAATTTGTTGCCCCAACCTGAGGCAGAGCTGGAAGTTCCTGTCAGAAGGCAAATGGTCAAGGAGCTCCCGCGTGTTGATACACCCAAAAACTGGCCCAAAGCTGATTCAAACTTGTGCCTCCAACTAACATAATGATCATTGTCTCCGCTGGTCCAAAGAATACAACGGTTTGTGATGGATACAAGCTGCAATGGAGGCATCTCTTGCTTGAATCTTGATGAGACTGCCCAAGTCGCAGGAAACACGAATATCAGCCCCTGGATCCTAAAGCACCAAGGTACTTAAAACGGTGTGCTTGCTCCGCCCCAAGTCATGCCGAAACTCCCTGTCGGGGACCACATAGAAGCGCATTTGCTGCAAAAATGTGCGGAAAACAGCTCTTCAAAATAAGTTGCACTTTGCATGCTGACAGCTTTTCCAGTATGTCGGCAGCTCTTGTCACAGATTGCACGGAATGCCCTCTTTCATTTTTGACGTCTGCATCACACTCTGTTTTGCTGGTTTGTCCGTCCAACTGTTTGCTTCCAGTGATTGTTTCTTCAAGACCTGCACGGAGTGTCACCGTTGAAACTTGTTTTCGTACCCATTGGCCCATTGACCACTTCCATTGGACGCTACAAGGGGCTCCTGGACGTGGAGGGAAGTTTTCCAGGCTGCGCGCGCGGCCGAACATTCTCAGTACGAGCAACAGAGTCACTTCTCCTGAGGGCTCGCAGGTGGCATCCAGGGCTTAGGAAGCTCAGCCGGCGGTGGCCTTAGAGGATGATGCAACCATCTAGCCGGTTTGGAAAGAACAAGGGATGATGCAACCCGGAGGTGTTGGAAAGGAAAATGAAGGAAACATGCGTTGTGGTGACAGCCCATGTGAAGATTGGTCCAAGTTGTGTGCACCTGTATCACTTGATTGCTTGTTGGAGAACAGGTTTCAAAAGGTGGCACCAAACACCCGTCCGACCTCTGGCACTCTGGGCAACTTGCACATGCAGACGATGCTTTGGTGGCTCTATGGGTAACGATGAACTGGCCGTCTCTCTGCATGCAGCACCCAGAAAAAGTGCAGCCTTAGTTGAAGGGTTTCTTCCATTTCTTCCCCAAGCTTTAGCCGATGTCCGATGAGGTACACTCCGAGCTGCTACATTGTCGTGCCACAAATGGGAGGTTTTGGACCCCAAATCGCAGTCGCACTTCTTTTCACAGCATCACCAGGGGTGAGTTGGCCGGAGATGGGTGGCACAAGATACCTTCCCAGCTTCCAGCAGTTCAAGTCGAAGCTGCGCACGGGGTATCTCAAAGAGTTGGAAAAGAACGTACTAAACGAGGCGAACTGCAATAGAATATTCTGAGAACCCCCTCGCAACCAATGGATCTTGAACGAGCCTGAGACTCAAAACCTCTGTTCTTTCCAACAAGAAGCGCACTGGGCCTGAGCATGAGCATGGACCAGAAAACTGAGGTGAGTGTTGGGGACTACTTTCGTCAGGACTGGCCAAATCAATTGGATATTCTTTGAGGATCAATCACATCGATTTGGGGCCGTGTTCCGCTTCTCCTGGGCGAAATCGCACAAGTCTATCCTTGGCGCCTCACAGGGATCCTCATCCCCGAGTGGCGAACGGTCTTCACACCGATTTTTCTGACGTACTCAAGGTCCTGTCCTCACAAACGAGAGGGCAAGGACACGCAGGTAGCGTTCTTTTGGAGCATCTCTGCTGCTTCCACCACCATGTTTTCCACGATGGTTTTGGCCGGAAGAATGTCCTTGATCATTCCCGCCACCTGTCCGCAGAGCCAGGGATGTATGGCATCAGCACCCACCGGCGTGGGCACATCCTGCTTCTTTCCCTCCGCCTGGCGCAGATCAAAAGAACCCCTGGAAAAAGAAGCACGCTAACATCACCTGTCCATTCCTCAAAGGTAGATGACAGAAACAGGATGAGTACATGAATTTGGGGTCCACATGCACTCAAGAACCTCGATGACCAATGAGCCCTCAAAGTCTCAGCTCTCACCTTCTCTTCGAGTAGCTCCACATCAGTGGTGTAGGGAATGACGCCTTTCTTCAAGAGATCACGCATCTCTTTGTTTCGCTCCACTTCCCAATTCTCCGAGTACTTGTTTTTGATGATCCTGGCTGACACCGACACCAAACTGCTTATATACTCCAAAAGAAATTTGCATGTCCTCTCTCCCTATGTCTCTTCTACACCCACAAGATCACAGGCTTCGCTTCGGCTTCTCGTGACCCTACCACCCGCCTCATGGGGCGGCCGGTGTAGATCTCGGTGCGGTGGGTGTCGTGCACACCCGCCTTCACCACATCCTCCTCACCGTTGTCGGTGGAAAAGTGAGATGGGTACTTGCATGATTGGTAGGCACAAAGGCTACATTTGTGGAGGTACCCAAGTACCCAACCTTGCGGAATGTGAGAATGTCTGATATGTTAACTATCTAATCTATGTAGACTGGCAGGGTGAACAGGGTGAGCACTTGAAGTCAAAGTATATTATGAAGTTCGATCCTTTCTATTTATGTTCAAGGTCCGCATCAGTCACATCCTTCTTCATCACCTTTTCCAGCTGAGCGAGCTTCGGCGATGGACGTGCGCCCCACGCCCACTGCGCACCTTGTGTCCCTTCGGTGCACCGCCTTCGACGGATGCCACAAAGCGTGTTCCAACCCACACCGCATCAGCACCAAGCGCCATGGACATGGCCAGGTGTCGGCCATCGCAAATGCCACCCGCCGCGATCACGGGCACTTGCTTTCCTCGAGGGCGAGGGAAAGACAAGCTGATTGGATGGGTGAGGAGCTCTTGCCGACTATCACAAGCATTGGGACATGGGCAGACTCGCAGTGTCAACATATGACTAACTTATATAGATATGGTCAATGAACGGACTTACGGTAGTTCTGGGAAAACGATAGCTCTGGTTGAAAAGCCTTGGAACAAGCAAATGCGGTATAATGCATTGCTTCTCAAATCGCTGACACTTTGCCTCACTGTGCATCGCTGCGCATCACTGTGCGTCACGATTGTCAACTAAGTCTAACTAAGTGCAGCTAAAGCGCCTGTGAGAGGTGACTTGTATCCTTTGCAGGTGTCGACGACCATGGGGATCAGAATGCCTCGGCGGCGTGACCATGGCCACGAGGTTCCCAGATATCCTACACTGTCCGGTCAGCTTCCAAATGTTTCTGGACTCGTCTCTCTCACTTGGCTCTGAAGGAGGATGCCAAAGCAAAGCCGAAGCAAACAATGGCATAGAAAGAAAAATATTACAACTCCCAACGGCAAAAGGAGAAACACGACTGGGAAAGAGGAGAGGCCGATGTGCTCGCTGATGAAGGGGCGTAGAAAAGGGATTGCAGGGAACGGGGCCTTATTCTTAAGGGTGCCCTTGTGTTCCTCCTCCTCCTCCTTCTTCTTCTGCTTCTGCTTCTTCTTCTTCTTCATCTTCTTCTTTTACTTTGCTCATTTGTAACCTTCTTTCTCAAAGTGAGAGACCTTCGACAGCTGAAAATTTTCTAAGAGAACCTTCCTGTCAGGAGGCTTGTGGCGACGTCACCGGTGTGTCCTCCACCTTCACCGCCTTGAGCACAAATAATGTCCACGCCCGCCTGGAAACAAGCTCTCAGGCCGGCACCAAGAAAAGCTCTACTCCCTGCTCACCTTCAGCACCTCCCTCTGTTGAGATACCAAGTGAACGGATGCTTTGATGCAGACTTCATAACAAGAGTAGTTACCCTCACAGGCCTGAAAGTTGTTCAAGAAACCACTCAAACTTGGATCTTTTTCACCTGCAAAGCATTTTAAAAAAAATTGTTATGGTCCCTCCAACAATATGGAAGTATCGACAGCTGACAAACGCTGGCACTCTTGCGATCCAGCTGTCAGCAAAAACAAACACTGGCAGCCAAACACCCAAGCTTGGGTGGGTGGGGCTGGAGAAGTGGGAAATGGAAAATGAAAAATCCAAAAGTTTCTTGCGGCTTTTGCCGCAGAGTCGATGGAAAACCACCAGACTCACTAGACCTGCGATCAAAGGAAACCACAGGGCATCGAAGAGATCGAAGAAAATCATCCAATGCTGAAAGCCTTTGTTACCCAGCTATGGGTATCTTTTTGCGTCCGACTCTGCGTGGAATGATGGAAACAAGCACGGCGACGACGAAACTCTATCAAAAAGGCATCGCTCTCGTTTTTGTATCTGTCAGGTTCTCCAGACTTGGTCTTGGTCAAAGGAGCTTCCAGCTGCGCCCATTCTGAGACGGGCCAACTTTTCGTGTCCGATTCACCACGCAGTGGTGGCAATGGCTCAGCGTCGAAGAGCGGAAGTGATGGATCATCAAGTAAGTCTATGTCAGGCTTACTGGTGCTTCGCACGTGGCTGATCCCGCTGTAGGTCGAGCACCCTCCCCAGGAATTGCATGGACTTTGACTCCAAGTCCCAAGCAGCGGATCATCTGGCTTGCGCGGAGAGCGTAATTGAGTAATAGGATGAGCATCATTTGACGCCAACGCCATGGCCAGACCGCTTTGCCAGGGACCAAAGGGCGAGGTAGGTGCTAAGCTGCTAAATGACAACAAATACTAATACTATATAGTAGGTTGGAGGCCATCGCTATTAGTTTGAGTCAAGAGGAACGCCGTTGAACTTGAGGAAAGCAGCACTACTGGGTGCTGCGTGTGGTGTTCCCTTGATTCGCAACCATCGGTTTGATATGCGTTCAAGCTTCAAATTCATAATGGAGCCTGAAACACATCAACAGTGGGCACACGAGGAAAATCTCAGCTGAAAGCTACTGTATGTACTATGCGTACAAAGGGCTCAAGCAGGAATTCCATGGTGAATCTCCAGTGCCAGAGCGCTTGGTAAGGAAGGTTCTTCCTTGTCAAATCTGGGCCCCTAGGAAGTCCAAAGAAAAACAAGAAAGCACCAAAGCAACTTCCAGTCTCTCGCACTTCAAAAGTGATCAGTCTCATATGACAGCGGGGCTCAACGCCTCGAGTGCCTTCGCCACATGCTTCGGCGCCCCGACCATGTTCATCACCTGGGCTCTGGGCAGGCTTCGGAGGTGCTTCGTCTCAAAAGGATCTTCGTCTCGAAGACAGAACCGCTTATGTCGGATGTTGTGCCCACTTTGACATCAGTTCTAGCCAATTCTAGTTAGAGGAAGCCAGTGAAAGAATGTTGGTGGTTTAAGGCACTATCGCGGGGGCTTTACATTGATTCGAGCATACCTTGGTGCCCCTTGTTCGTTGAGGGATTGAACACCCAAACAACCGAAAATCTACAAATGCCTGTTGATGTAGAGTCAGGCCTTTTGGCAAGCCCATCTCCATTGCGACACAGGCCAATGCTATGGAGACACCAAGAACATTGCTTGTTGTTGGCCAAAGATTGTATCCTGTGAATAAAGAGCTGGAGTTGTTGGGACACCTGACATGCTTAGCTGCGTCATAGTATTGCTGAGGAGGAACTCTGGCACCGCATGAGATAGGCCAGTCAATTTCGGAGGTTTACGTGCTTTCACTATGTTTTTCAACCAACAACAGGATTTTATACAAGCATCTCATTCACAGTATCATGAAACAGATTCAAACAAATATTCTGAATAGCAATCAATGCAAGCGGCAGGGATTCCGGCTGCGTGCAATTTATCCACCACGAACTTGGGAGGGACGCCCACAGCGCTCACAAAAAGCTTGGCACCCATTTCCTCGGACATCGGCATCACCAAGTCTCATACCCACCCGGCTACCCCGCTACCACCCCCACGGAATCTGGTCCCCAAATGAGTGATGGACGCTCGGACGCGAGCTAACGAGTCCGGGGAGATAATCAAGCTCGGTCGCGTCCGATATCATAAGTGAGGGCAAAGAATATATTATGCTTACTTTAGCATCACTAGTTCTCAGAGTTCTCTACTGTGTGTTCTGAGAGTCACAAACTTGCATGAATTTGCACTGCATCAAGCCCTGCTCCTGCTTGCATGCAACAGTGTGTCCCCCATCAATACACTCCTTGACTTGGGCTGCCATGAAGGCTTCCAAGATCTTCCAAGCATGGGTCGAAAGTGGAAGTCAAACTCAAAAGTGCTTGGCTGCATAGACAATACAGGACCAAATTCCCAATCGTCCACAATCCAGTCACGTCCAGTGAACTACTGGACCTCACGTCCGACCCGAGAAAAGACGCCAGGCAACAATGGTGATATCGATGAGCTCGGGCAAGTCCTTGAGCCAATCGGAAAGCCTTTTCGAGTCGACCAGTCGGCCTGGTCCTTTCACAGAGCTGTCCAACACAACATATCAGTGTCCTTACTAACCCAAGGGCCACAAAACAAAACAATAGATAACACAAAGATATACAAAGTCTCCCGTCTTCAACTAGGTACTATTGAGGTTCAACATACGTCATCGAGCTTTTTGGCCAAGTGTCACCCTTGGTGTAGTCGTAATTCGTGGCACGTGCGCCAGAGCCAACTTGAGGTAGCCTTGGTCCATCAAATTGGTGTGTCAAAGATGCCGAAGGGTCAAGCGATGGCCTCCACCTAGTAGCTTCTAGTTACTAAGGAGCTTTCTTGTTACTAGTAGCGATGGCCTCCAACCTAATAGCGATGGCCTCCACCCAGTCCAAAAAACAGTCTGCACCGAACTCCACTGGACCTGATGTGCCAAAAAATATGACTTGGAAGACACATCAGGAACAAACAAGTGCATCGCTACTAGTAACAAGTGCCTTACTAGTAGTAACAAGAAGCTACTAGGAACAAGTGCCTTACTACTAGTAACAATAAGAATTTAGTTATATTCGGTTCTCCGAATTTTCGTTGGATGACACACTGAGACGTGCAAGACTGCTCCTATGTGATCGTATGTGCTCGTATGTGCTCGTGCGCAGGTCTCTTCGTCTCTTCCAAGTGGCAAAAGATCCACGCCAAAGGGAGCATTGGGATCGTTCAAGTGTTCCTTCAGCTCCTCGAGAATGGCAGGTCGGAGATCACCAAGGGTCCTCTCCCAAGACCTATGGTGGTGGGCGCATGTCATTCGCAGTATGAATTCCATTCCTTCCCCGTTCGCCTGCTCAGAATCCCCACCCCACAGTGTTTAGAAGTCCTTCAGCTTTGCTCTGAACATCTTGGGCGTGTAGAAAACGCCGCCCCAAACCCCCAAGCCACCAGCGTTCGTTACGGCCGCCGCCAGCTGCGGACTCGCAGCGATGTTCATCCCCGCCAGCAGCACCTCTTTTTGGTGGAGATCGTTCAAAAGGCCCAAGGCCCAGAATAATGCATTAAGTTTCTCACAAGAACCAAAGAAATTGCCAGCGTGGTCACGAATGTATGATGGCAATCGCAAGGTTTCGAGCAGCACCCTGCATGCCACTCACTAGAAATCACAAGGATAAGGTGAGACAAAGCTATCATGCGTCTGAGGTGCAGGGTGTTGAATGCCAAAAAGCTCCGTAATCGGAGTCGATATCCTGGAAAGCACAAGGACTCTTGCCGCTCGAGGAATGGGGCCATCCTACATACTTGGCCTTGCACCTCAAGCAGGTTGCATGATCATGTACGGCCACTCCTGGGTAAGGCCATGCTGACGACCGGATTGGAGCAGCGCGTGCTTTTTTCAAAAGAAGCAGCTGCGGGTCCCTTTCTAGTTGAGATGACTGCAGTTGACCACTTGGAGATGTGGAGCAGATGCCCTGTGCCACCATCATGACTTATAGTGTCCATGAGGTTTTTGGTCTGAAAGGGTCAAAAGGCTTGTGGAGCTCCAATCATCCAAGTCTTTCGCAACATGAACGTTGTTTTCAAGGTCTCCTTGGCTCTCCTTCAAACCCTCCACAAACACCCCCGACGGCCCCTGCGGAGGTAGCGGTGGCGGGGGAGGCTCCACCAAGGCCGCACGGGGTGAGGTGACCGCCAGCGGCATCTGGCGGAGTGCATCGGGATCGTCAGAGTCAGAACCGTCGATGCCAGGAGCCCCTAGTAGCTTCTTGTTCCTAGTAGTAAGGCCAGGAGCCCCTAGTCCCAAAACGGCTACTAGGGTGGAGGACATCACCATTAGGTTGGAGCAGGTTGGAGGCCATCACTATTAGAGAAAAAGGAAAAGGAACGAAGGAAAGGTCCAGCCGGGTGGCTTGACAGTGACGACCCCGTCTCTAGTCAAACCAGACAATGGCCAAGGCTCCAATCATTCCAGATGCGAACACCAAGAGCTCAATCCGACAGCACGGACGGCAAGCACCTTCTTTGGCTTTGGGTAGACAGTCCCATCACTCTCGCTCTGCTTGAAGCCTCGGATATGCATTCCGAGCAAAAGTTGCTGCTGGACAGCCAGGATATGGGTCTACAGTTCTCAAGCTGCTTTAGCCTAAGGCCAGAAGACGATCCTATGCCCTTTGACTTTGGCTGAAGGTCCCAACGGTCTACATGCGAGCCGCAGTGGCAGACACAAAGAGAGGGTGCCTGACAAAGAGACGGGTCATAAAATGTCCATAACGTTTCAGATTTGTTCATGGCTCACCTTCAAGCTAGTGAGTTGCCACAGTCACTTTCATGGTCTGAAGACACACCAGAATTTCCAGGTTTTGCACTGCTTCGACTTGCCTTCCAGCATTTGGAGTAGTGTGAATGGATCAAAAGCTGCGCTCCGTGAATTAAGCCGGTGCTCCAACAATTGAAAATCGAAAGGTACAGGATGGTTATACCCCAACACGTAGAGTCGTAGAGCCTTTGCTTTGCCGTTGCTCATCTCGGGCCCTGCTAGTTACAACGGGTAAAGCACAAGCCATGAAACTTCTTTGGTTTCTGCAGAGTTAAGAGATAGGAGCAGCTAGTCTGACGATCAGCACTCTCGCGATTCTGCTGCTGGGGGTTCTTCCAACGCACCTTGGCCGCATTAGGCAGCGTATATGAGCTGATACCTGCCCGGCGCACGAAACGACCTCCCAAGCCTGAAGCAAAACAACTTCCCGAAAGATCAGGTGAAGTCGCATGGGATTCTTTTTGTTCAGCTGAAACTGCCGCATGCTCGACATGAACTCTTGAAGCAAACTCAGTCTGGCCTCCGCTTTCTGCTTCGAAGGTCCTGCTGAGACGCTTGCAACGACTCAAGTGCTTCAGCAATTGTTCAAAGTGATCAACGTCAACATGGAGTTTCATTACAATGCTTGAGCGCACATAGGAAGGACCCTTGTCAAAACTTAATCACTGCTAGATTTTGTCAGCATCGGTTGAATAGTCAAGGATAGTCTATGGATCCTTTGTGGGGCAAGTTATCTTACATCTACACGGACGAGAAGACTTCCCACCTGGATGAGCCAACCTGCTCATAAGGGCCTCGAAATGTTTAGGATGAATATTCATATGGGAGGATTTCACAAAATCACTTCGGTCAGCCTCATCAAGCCACATGTCCCTTTTCCTCAAGATGTTGTCCATTTGTCAACCCTGCCTGAGCTTAGCAAAGGCCCCACCAATTGAAGCCACTGCATCCGACCTGCAGTGAAGTCGTGGCCATTGGCTGAAGAGCCACCTATCCCAAGCCAACGAAAGGTGAATGAAAAAGCCGCAACAAAACAGAACAGTGCAAGGGCATTGGGCATTGAGAAGAATGATCCTTTGGTCCTTTGGATCCAAAAAGGGACAAAATAGGAGGATTGAATAGATCCAGTCTTGATACTTGATACCATCATCCCCACATTCGTTACTAGTAGTAACAAGGTTCGCTATTAGGAACAAGTGCCTCGCTAGTAGTAACAGGTGCCTTACGAACGTAGTAACAAGGACGCTACGAACGGGGCTCCTTCTTCACAGTGTCCCGTCGATGTCCGTCTCTCCGGACCGCTCGGGGGGCGACGTCATCGCCGCGTTGAGCCCCAGCATGGATGCCTTGGGACGCACACAGGGAAGGTGCCCCAGCCTCCGGGCCGTGGACGTGGACACTGCCCAAAGGACCCAAGGAGCCAACATCGTTGAAAAGCTTGTTGATGTCCATTTTGGAGCATCAGATTGCTATTGAAAGAGCTGCTTTGCTCCCAACCTCTGGCAGTGGCACCAACTTCGAGATGGGGCCCACCTTGGTCAAAGGATGTGCCTCAGCAAAGGGGCAAACACAACGGGTCTAGGGTACCCTTTGGGGGCAGCCCTCAGGAATTGAGAATGAGGTGTCACTATGTATGTCTACATGTCTGACTGAAACCTGTCGCTTCCCTCTCTAGAAGAGCTCACACCTTTGCCTAAGCTGGATTTAGATGAAAATTGTCCGCAAATCAATCAGTCGGAAGTACAAGGTACGATGCCCAAGCAAAGCAAGAACCTGGGTGGACAAGCTCTGCCTAACCTCTCTTCCCAGCTAAAAGCCAAAAGCACATCCCAAACCTCTTGGCGTCTTTGAAATGTTTGTGAATACATGAGTTTTAGACTTCCCACATTTTGGAAGAACTAAACAAACCAAGGAATCGAAAAGCAAAAACAAGACTCCCAGATTTTGACCCACGAAGGAACCCCGCCCACTTGTTCAGCCTCGTAGATGATTTCCCGGCCATTGGAGGAGGGGCTCTGTGCATCGTGCCTTGGACCGTCATGCTGACGCTGGCAGCGGCAAAAGCACATGGGAAATTGATGGAAATTGGATGACCAAAATATGCAAAGCTCCCCATGACATCACCACTCCTGCATGTTCTTTGAGGGTGCTACGTCACCTCCTCGTGGCTCAGATGTACGCAGTCGACTTTGGATTTGATCTCCTGTCTCAACAAAGGCCTCAGCTCAAGGAGAAGGTCAGACTCTCTTTTGAGCTTTGCAAGTCAGGCTTCCCCTGAGCGCTAGCAGCTACCCACGCAGGAAAGCAACTTTACTCACAACTGATGGTGCCATTGTCATCTCTGGGCGCTCTGGGATGCTCTGGGTGTCCCAGACTTGCAGGTATAGAGACAAAAGCGTTCGTAGCTCAGTAGCTCCGCACTTTGCACCTCGTTCGATCACAGTGGGTGACGCTCCTTTTGAGGCCCAACCAGATCACCTGACTGGGGTAGAGAGGGGGTGGCTCGGTCCTTTCGAGACAGGTATATAATGTTATATGCATGATCCCACAGCATCCCACATGCATTTTTATCATGCTAACGGAAGAGCAGCAGTCTCCTTCAGGAACCTCATTCTCTCAATAGCTGTGCAATCCAGCAGGACGTGAGGGCATAACTCTTCTTCCAAGGTCCACTGGCTGGCTCCGCCGCAGGATTCCATCGTGTTTGGCAATGGTGGGCTTCGGGGACCAGCTTTTCAAATTGACTCCACTAGTTGGATGTCGCCAAAAGAACTTATTTTGATTAGGGATACCAGAGTCAAAAAGAAAGAAGCACAGGTGTTGTTCAGTCTTGGAAAAAGTGGAGCTACTAGTTGCTACCGTAGAAAAGTGCCTGAGGCCACCAACCACCTGCTCACTCATCGTCTCAGCTTGCCGACAGTCAGGCAAGCCTCGCGCTCGCCGCGCGGCGAGGTGCTAAGAGACCCGAAAATGGTGGGATGGTGGGATGGGTACATTGCACTAGTGAAATGTATCGACATCCTTGAAGTTGAGCGTTGTCGAGATGTTCAGTCTGGAAATTGGCCACGCCCAAAGCTGAGCAGGTCGGTATTCTAAAGTTCATCGAACCCATGTCACTGGTCCATGTCATTTCCAAGCCTGAGCTCCTGGGGAAGCATTGGAAGCTTACCATGCCATCCCCACCTGTGGCGATGGAAGGAAGTCACTACTCACTTCAAACTTTCTACAGTATCTATCTATCTATCTATATATCTATCCATCCATCCATCTATCTATCTAATTATACAGAATGTATCCATTCCACATGCCCAATATCAAGAATCCATTATTCACTTCCCTTGGCTACCTTACCTTGCATTATTGTATCGTTCTTTGTACAAGCTTCAGAATGCTTGCTCAAACTGATCCAACCTTCATTGCGCCGCTCGCCAACGCACTGGTTGCAGCTGCATGCCAGTTCCTGAAAGCGCTGTCTGTCCCATTTCGTTGGATGTTTGCCATAACACATTTCGCGTTTCAACGCAGCAGCGTAAAGGCAGAAGTGAACGACGGGACAAGCATCTCTTTCAACCAGTGAAACCTTCCGCGAACTGAGGTCAATTCTCTCCTGCCAATACCCAACCAAATTGTGGAACATGGCATCTGTTACCGCAACCCATGGGTTGAAGGCTGACACTAAGGAGGTTTAGCTGCTTTCAGAGTCCCTGCCTGCCAAAAATTAGCCACACAGCCTTGTCCGTCTCAAGTAAAACAGTCGAAAACCATTCTCACAATGCACCTGGTTGGAGCCTTGCCGCAGGCGGGTCCTGCCAGAGAACCGCTTACAAACTGAACAACACCAAACCTGTCTGGCAAGTGGAAAAAAGGATAGAACTTTTGAGCCACATCCTTGTCTATATAATGGCGAACTGATCCTGCGTTGCGACTACAACCATATGACAGCATTGCAAAAATATATACCCCCCATCTGGTGGTCTTAAAACCGATTTCGTAACTCTCGCTCTCCTTGCGGCCACCGTTGCCAGCAGGCACACCTTTACATCAGGCTCTCTCATTAAGGGCAACGCCAAACCAAGCTGCTCGGCATGCGATAAATGCCCAGCCAGCTCGAAAAGGGAACTAAAACCGTTAATGAACACACTTCTGTCTACAACG